TAATACTAATTGGTAGATTGTTGATGTATCTGTAATTGTTTCAGCTTATCTTTATTGATTTACATGGATGGGACTTTATATAAAAGGTTGTTTAACGAAATAGCCAATTTTAAGTCTATGTTCACGTATTAATGGGACTTTTTGCATAATTTTAGCTAGAATTTCTTTCTTAGATTCTGGTTTCATATTTATTAATATGTTTAAGCCAAAAAGTTAGAAGGAGTAATAATAACAGCCATTTTACTTAAGCTGGTTTGCTAATTCAGGGTATATAGATGAGTAGTTAATTTAGCTTAGAGAGAATCCTAAACGAGGAGGAACAGCACCACATTAATCTCGAAAAGATAAATTAGGAATGAAGAGTCCTTATTAATAATAATTAATCACAGTTTCTCATTAGACACCAAATCCATATACAAAAGCAATGTAAATATTAATAATCACAAAGTAGATAGCCTCCTAAAAGTTACTAGAACAATATCTAATAGATCTCAAAGATCTATGCTGGTTCATTTTAAGGAATAATGAAAAGAAAAAGCGTAGAGAGAAGATATGATGATGTACCAAATAGTGGAAGAGCTTCATTTAAGCCATCTAGAACATTTACTCAATAAAAATCAAGAGGATTTCACTCATGCGAATAATAAAGTAGACCATAAACATAATAATTAAACACATTTGAACCTAAACTTTAATATGAGAATATTGTACCTTATAATTATGATGAATAATAACATACACCTAGGGATAATGAAGATATAGAAATAGTAGAAGTAGATAATGTTGATATAGATTCAAATGAATCAAATGAAGCTGATAGTGAAGAAGATCATAATTTATAATTACCAACTTAATAATAAGAAGAGACATAAATCTAAAAGAACAAATCATTTGTTTAAAAATAAATAGAAGAACCAGTGATTACTATGAGAAAAGAAACTGCTACATTAAATAGACCATAAACATCTGAAGGTGCTAGAAGAAAAAGATTTGCCAATTCTACAAATGAAGCTTAATAAAATATTTCTTAGAAAAAAGAATCAGAATTATTAATCATTGATTATTAACCTAATATTATTTAAGAAGATGAATCTGAAAACCTAGAAATTATTCCAATCATTACTAATAATTTAAATTCACCTAAAGTATATTTATTTATTCTATTTCATTCAATTAGGATCTGCTCTCAATACGTTCAGGATAAAGAAGAAAATTAAATGATCAAGTTATTGATAATTTTCATAATAATAATAATGATCGTCCTCCTTCTAGACATAAAACTCCTCCTAAAGCTACTGGATTAGAATTACCTATTTAAGCTGTTAATTCTTTAGTTGATCATTAAATTCCAATCAAAAATATGTATGCATAAATTGATCCAAAATGTAATCAATATTTTATTCTATTTAGCCAATAATAATTTCAATGATGATCTTGATGATTTTGATCTTGCTTTTATTAAAATGAATAATCAAGTTAATCTTAATAAATTCTAATCCAAAGATGGATATCATACTGATGAAGGAAGTATTTTATATCTATTTATTAGAAAAATCTAATACCAATCAAAAACATCCTTAATCAGCTAATCTTAAATTCAATAATATTGGATTTCAAAATTTATCCTATTCACCTGTTAATAATTAAATTACATCAGCTCATGGATTTAGAACCAATGAACCACAAATAGTTATAAAATATAATAACAGCTCTTCACTTAATAAAAATTAGCCTAAATTACCAGTCAAAGTCCCCTTCTAAACTTCATTGGGTTAGGATTTCTTAAGTCTATTTGCCAATGATAATACAGATTCATGAAATCATTAAAATCAGTATTTATTAGTTTATACTAATTTTTAAATATTTTTACTAAATCCATGAATTAGTATTTTTAATACGATATGTATATTTTCTGAAATAATTATTTACTCTCAATTTTTATTAATTAATAATTTTTTAATCTTTTTTCCATACCTTATACAATCTCATTTATTTTCTTTATTATCTTTATTATTTGTTTTCTTCAAAAAACTAGCCATGCCCCCTTAGTTCTCTTTTAAAATTTAAATAAGGAAATTAAAATTAAAAAATCCTATTATTTCAATCATTTAATAATAAGGGATTTTACAAAAATCAAAAAAGTAATTAATCATAAATTTAATTTTAGAGACATTATTATAAATGATAATTTATTAAGAATTCAAGATATAAATGATGTATTTTAAAATTGAAATCAATTAAAAAAGATTTTCAATAAGTCTCTAGCTGATCAAATTTTAACATCTTAAGTACTTCTATCATTTTCTTTAAATTTTTTTATGGATTTCATCCTATGATTTCTCTTTCTTATGCAATATATTTTTGGGTAAATTATAATTTATGAACATATTATAAAGTAACCTAAAATAAATTTCTGAATAATAATTCTATTTTTATTTCAAAATTAAAAAATGCTTATAATTTATAAATTTATAATATATTTAAACGAACCCAACCTAAAATAACTCCTTAATTTGTATTTTAATTATATCTACATATTAAATCATCTTTAGTTGGAACATTTTATCTTTTGTTAGAGATATTTATTTCTTGTTCTCTCCTTAAAATATTTATAATGCTATAGAAAGGTATCTTGTATCACATGTTTAATCAAAATTTTATTCATTGAAACTAATAAATATTCATCTTTTCTATTATCTAAAACATTAAGATCTCTAAAATAAGAATAAGCTGTTACTTATAATGCTTACCAACTTTAATTCCTCATATAGGTTTTCTTTTGTTCCCTTAATAAAGTCATTAGATTCAAACATATAAAAACTTCTAAGGCCTTCACATGTTTGTGCAATAACCTTTAAAAACAAAAATTATCACCTTCACATTTTTTAGTTTCACAATAAATTCTAGGTGTTATCAAAAGTTATGCTTAATTTTCAATTAAATAAAAGCAAAATTAACAATATAAATTTCATTAATATTAAAAATAAATCATCATTTTAGATAATAAACTTCAATGCTTAAGCATTTAAATCTATTTTGATTTTTTTATTCTGTAAATAATGGATTATCATAAGTATCACTTTAATAGGTAAATCCTTTATTCAATTCTGAATCAATTTAAAATGCTGGTCCAGATCTAAATTATTTATAAAAATTATACTTTCCACTTCCAAATGCTAAATAATCTGGTGCACACATCATATAGTCTCTATTTCCAGATGTTGGATTATATTTTCTTTCTTCTGGTTAGAGAGTGAATAGAAATGTTTCACTTGAACCAACATACTTATTTTTAACTGTCAACATTTTATCACAAAATGCTCCAAATATCTATTTTATTTAATTAGATTTAATACAATATTTTAATTTGTTTAAATTACCAATAAAACTGGATAATCTATAAAATCTTAACATTTAAAATATAATTATTTTAATGAATGTCCATCACATTTTGAAGAAAATATTAAAAATGGATCGCTCAACTTATAAATATTTGACATCCAATCCCATAATATTTCAAACTAGCTAAATATCATATATCTATAAATGCCTATTCATTTGTAATTAAATCTGATGCTTAAGATGGAATTGGTAAATAACATGGTTAATTTTTAGTGTAAGATACTGCTGTTCTCATATAAGATTTCACTTATTCACTTTCACTTAAACTTAATTTAAAAGCTTGTTTAATAATATTATTTTATTCTTCTATATTTAAATTCATTAACTTTTTTCGTAAAATTGCTTTAAAATTAGAATTTGACTTGTTTATCTTAATGTCATCTGATACATATCTCAATACAGAATAAAATATTCTAAAATAAATCTTAATACCTTCATTTAGATATATAATAAATATTTTTAACACTGATGAAAAGGGTAAATATGTTAACATTAAACTAATAGACATTTCTTGAAATAATTCAAATGAATCAAAGCGAATATTTTACATAAATTAATAAACATTACTAAATGTTTTGCTTCTTTTACTTACTGTTTCATAGAATGTAGTTGCTGTTCTAGTTATATATTTAATTATTACTCTTTAAAATGTTCTTCATTCATTATTAAATGCCATCTTAATTATTATTTTGTTTGATTATCATTCAAACTTTATTATGAATCTTTAATCATAAATTATAATACACAATATGTTTATGCTTCACTTAAAAAGATTAACAGAAGAACTATTATATGTAATAACATTGGGTTATATTCCAAAAAATGATTTAAATTATTCACAATCCATAATAAACGTATTAATGCTTCCATTCCTTATTAATTTAAAATCTAAACTTTAAGAATTAATTATATTTTTTTCTCACTCTCATTTAAGTAATTAAATTCCTCATCATCGTCTTCATCAGCATTACAACCAAAAAGAGGAACATTTTTAAAGGTTTTAGGAATTTATTTATTTTTGAATACAACCTTTAATGCAGATAAATATTCTGCTTCACAATCAACATATGTCAATCTAAAAGTATCCAATATTATTTTTTTAGCCATAGAACATGGAACACCTCTATTATGATTACTAAATATAATAATTACTTTCTTATTAAATATTGCCATTTCTTATTTAAGACTTTTCCTTTTTATCTAACTAATTCTCCATGCCTTAAATTTATTGTATCAGCTTTTGACCAAAATTTCTCCATTTATGATTAATCTTCCTTATATCCAGGATAAATATATATAAATTTTTATGGTTCGAATTATGGCTTGTCCACACCAAACCAATCTTAACTAAAAAAATATTAATAGTCTTGATTTAAATTCAACATTGGACCTACTTATAACAAAGATTTAGGTGGCTCTTCTTTCTTATCACAACATTGAGAGCTTAGAATTTATCCCATTAATATAGCTATGAATTCAATATAAAAAATTATATTTAATAAATATTTATTATTTTTATTTACATTATTATGATAAAGATGAACTTTATATCTTATAATTTTTAATCAATAGAAATTATTAATAAATATAATTTTTGAAATGATCTTTTTCTAATTTAGTCAATCATTTATATTTTCTTTATGATTCTCTTAATACAATTACAGATTTTTACATATATATTTTTTGAATTTTTGAATTGTTTAATGATAGTTAAATTGGTTTATTAGTTTATTATCTATTAATTTTATTTTATTAATCAGTAAGCTTTTTGCAATTAAATATATTTTTAAATATATTTATAGTGCTGTTATATATATTTAAATCGAAATTATTTTATAAAGAGAATAAAAATTTTTTCACAATGAGTTTAAATATATAATTAGTTTGAAATTGAAAAGTTTATTGTTTTAAGTCCTATTAATTAAATTAATTTTTTGCTATTTTTATAACTACTATTGAATCAATTCATAGTAAAAAAATTTTATTAATACAGATATTTGTAAATTTTGATATGTAATCCTCCTTATTGAAAAAATTGATTTAATTAATTAAAAATATCTATCATCATCTCTTATAATTATTCTACTTTTAATTAGAAATAATATTCTATTCTACTTTTTTATTAATTTAATCATGAAATACATTTTATGAATTTCTAGAATTTATGAATTAATTTTTTAATTATTTTTAAAATTTATTAAAAAAATGAAAGCAACAGGGTAGGATTTAGATATCATAAAACTTTTAAGCAGTAAAGAGTGGTAAATAACTTATAAAAATTTTGTTTACTAATATTCTTCTCAATTTTAAGAAAATTAATAGAATTTGAACTAACAACAAGAATTACATAAAGTAAATCAAATTTTGAAATTAATTATAGAAATTTTAAGAATCCTTATAACCAATATTAAATAAGTTTATTTCAAAGGAGTCTTAAGAGAAATATAAAAAGGTAATCTTTATCCTAACTAAAATAGAATATTAAAGAACTTATGTAAAATTATTCATAAGAGACAATTATACAATATGTTTGTTTATTTGATTTTCATTTATTTCAAACTGAAATGATTTCTTAAAACTAACTATTAGATTTGATTGCTTTAGAATTAATTAGAAAGGAAGCATAATAAGATTAATAAGAAAGTAGTTCTGATGATGAGGAAGCAGAGAAGGCATACTTTGAAAAATCAAGAGAATAAACAAAATAATAAATTGAAGGAACTTTGAATGTTGAAGAAGAAAAATAAAAATTAGAGAAGACAATAAGAGAAACAATTGCTAATTTTAACTTACCAGAAGTTATCAAATAACCAGAAATTGAAGTGGATTAATATGGATTTAATTAAGGAGTAATTGAAAAAGAAGATGATATTTTAAAGAAAAGTATCAAATTAAGAACTTTAAAATTAAAATAAACAATTCCAAAAAAAGAAATAAGATTAACAGCAGAATAATTAAAAAAGAGAAGATTACAAATAGAATTAGTTAAAAAAGCTATTAAGGAATAATGAATATATTTCTAAACAAATAATTATTAAAAATACGATATTAATTAAATTAATATGATTATCATATAAATAATTTAAATTATAACGATTTTAGATTGTTTTTTCTATGATAAAGAAATTTTAAAAAATTTATAGAGAGTGAATCAATTTTTAATAATCTCATTAATCTTTTATTTTTCCATTTCTCTTCTATATAAAGTTTGAATAATTGGATGTTCATTGGCATTCCTATCACTACTTACATACTATTGTTCATAAAGGCTATAATATGAAAAATGCTATTATTACACTGAAATCACTTATGGAGAAGGAGTTTACATAACTTTATAATCATTTTTTAATGGGAATTAATTTCCATCATCACATCCAAAGCCAGAATAAATAGGAAATAACCATAATATTTTATTTAAACCAAAAATCTATTATATGTTTGTATTTGGATCAATGTCATAAACATTAAATATGATTTAATTGTTTTTACTAATTAGATCTTCTAATGTTGTTTGATTTTTTTATAATAAAGTTAAGTGATATTTTAAGAAACCAAAAAGCAAAAAAACTAAAACATAATTACCAATGCAAACTAAAGCATAAAGCATATTAAAATATGAAAATTAAAATGATAGCAAATATGTTTTAGTTGTGCTTAGAACTGTTATAAAATTAAATAACAATGCATAAAATAAGAGTAATATGAACTATTTTCTGTTTTAATAACCTACACATGTATTTATCCATGGACAATGATGATCCATTTATAAAACACAGCGATCACAAATTGAACAATGCTAAAATATATTTTTGAAATTATACATGACATCTTTCAGGTTTTGGACATTTACATTTTTAACAGAATCCTTTCTTTGAAAACGGTGAGTAATTACATTCATCTGCTCTATCTTAATCTGTCAATATACTTTTTCGGTCTTCCTGGATCAATTGTTATCATGACAATAAAACACCACAAAAGCATTATGAATATCATATTCAAAGCAATTAAATGGATATACAATAGTATGCTAAACTCTTCTCTTATCCATAAATTAAAATTTATCCAATAATGAAGAGAATAAACACTAGCTGCTATAAATACAACTAATTTTCTTCCAATAATCTCTAATTTCTAACTCATAATTATATTAATGTATATTTTTCATAAATCACTATTCATACATCACAGACCAATTCAAATACATCAAACATTAATTCAAATGATAAATTAAATTTTACTCCTTTCTATAAATGAAATGGACTACTAACAACTTATTTTTCACTTAAACGTAACCATGTTCCATTTTTGCTCTCTAAATCATTTATCATCAATTTAATTGATCCAGCCTTAAAATTATAATCATAATAAATTTCCATATGTTTTGCACTCATTAATCTATTGCATCTATATATTGTTTAATATATTAAATTTACTATGAATGCATAAATGTAAAATTATTTTTAGATCTTTCTCTTCCTATTAAAAATTTATCACCTCTTTTTAATTATATTTATTTGTGTTTTGCAGTGCCTTCATGTTCATATCTCACTTCCAAAAATCCTGTCTCTGTATTAATATCAATTATTTTAAAGGCAAATCTATTCCCAATATATACTGACATATCTCTTTCTATTACAAAATTATGATTTATTTTTATAAATGTGCCTCCTTTTGATCCAACATCAACTAAATAAAAAGCTTCTTTTATTTTTAATTATAAATTATACTCTCTTTATAATAAATTTAACAATGTTTGCTACTAATTTTAGAATGATCTGTAAAGGCAAATGTGCAATCTTCATTTCTACCAAAACTTGCTCCTTAAATATTAACAACTTTCAACTAATTTTTATAATCTTTTATACTTTTTATTATTCATCACATTTCAATTTTAGATGTGTTTATTAAGATAGTTAGAATAAATCAAATGATGGTTGAAGTGTTAGTCTTTCTATTCTTTTTAAAATCTATTCTTTCAATGATTTCTATTATTAAATCTAAAAATTATTTTATAATAAGTACTCTACTCGTTAATTATCTTGTTATTCAATAATTTATTATATTTATATTGATTTATCTAGTAAATTTGATTATTACATTAGAGTTGATTATTACATTATTGTTGATTATTACATCATTACAGATTGCTACATAACATTAGGTTGACCTAAAATAACAGATTCGCACATATCTTACTATTATTATTATTATTATTAAATTTCTTGTTATAATTATTAAGATTATTAAATAAATACAGATTATGCCATGAATGAAACTGATTACTACATTTAATCATTTAGTTCTTATTGCTCTTCTTCTTAATTAGATAATTATTATGATTATTCTTCTTAAGATTGATTGACATTACCACCAGATAATATCTCTTCTTCTATTTAAACATGAGTTTCTGTGTTTTATCTATCTCTCTCTTATTCTGATAGTAAACCATCATTATCTGGTCTTGAATTATTATAAAAATATACATTATAATAGAACTACCTCTATGAAGAGTATCTTGATAATTAAATTCTTGAACATTTTAATTTTTAAATTTGATCCAATTAGTATCTCTTTAAACATTTGGTGAAGTTGTTGCTGAGTGGGTAACGATAGGTTGACTAAATTATTTTTTAATTTATTCTAAACTTTGATCTGTAACTTTAATAGTCATTTGAATTTCATCTAATGTCTCTGTTTTATTTCTATTTTTCGTTTATTATTCAACATTCCCATAAGATCTTGATGATCTCTTAAATTATTCTGTTAAAGATGATTATCTATTAAGCTATCCTAATTAAGTATCTTTTGTGAAATAATATAAAGATGTCCATCTTATTTAACTTACTTTTCTCTATCCCAATTATTTACATTCTGTATATGATTCTTAATTTTTATAAACAGCTAAACTTAGAATTTGTAATAAATAATGTAATAAATGAAGAAATTGATTGATTTAATGATATTTACTTGCTGTCTACATAGTATTTCTGACCATACTTTATCGATTTTGATATAATAAATTTTAAGACTTATTAGAAGAGTTTGATTAACTCATCAATAGACATTTCAAAAATAGATTTTCTCCTTTAAAAGGTGGATTGACCAATATTAATAAAATAAATCCATCAATTTAATTCTAAAATAGCAATTAATAATAATCTTGAAATTTAATGACATGTAATAGAACATTAATATCATCCATGTCCCAAAAAAGAGGTTATAAATCATATGAAGGTAAATGTGAAATAGATTTCAACAATAAATTTATGATATCTGAACTGATATACATTGAACATCTTCTATTTTAACTTTGAGTACTTGGATGTTCATATATACTTTTAATGTATATTTCTATTTCATATAATAAACCTCTTAATATTTAACATGCACAACTTATTTCAGCAGTACAACTTTTACATTTTGATTATGAAAACAATCTAGATCCATAATGTTTCTTTAACATCTCTCTATAATGTTAATATTTCAAGACAATTAATGACCATATTTTTAATTTCTAAATTTGATAATATAGATTAATATCCATTGAATGACTTATCAATTTATAAATACTTTAAGCATTACACAATTCCAATATTTCTTCATATTATCTTGTACAGACATCCAACAAAGGTATTTATAATTTATTAGAAGTTGGTTATGATTCCTAGTTATTATATGATCTTTATTTTGGGGCAGCTTAAATCTAAATATTCATAAAGTCATTTACAGTAATGATTGATACAGCCCATGATAATCCAACTGATTCACAAAAAGCATGAACTTATTATTCATTCCATCTATAAGGGGAAGATTTGAATTTAGAAAGGAGCCATGAAATGATATTATCTAATTATCTAATATTCATAATAATAATAAATATAATCAATCATTCCAATTTTTGTTTTATTCTTTGTATAATTTTTAAAACTATTCATTATAATTTTCAATTAATTATTAAAGGTATTTGTTAAGCCATTTAACAAACAGTTTAATATCATTCTAAAAGTTGGATTCTAATATTTTTAGTACTTTTTAGTTCTCTCTAATTTATTCCTTATATTAAATTTTTTCTTTATTAAATAATTTATAATACCATTAAAAGATTCAACTTGATTGTGCATTTTGATTTATTACTAAATTTAATAAATCAAATCAGATCGTCTTCTAATTATTCCAAAAGCTTCATCTAAATCTAGAATGCATAGCTATTTATTAAATAAATATACTTCTAATTTGAAAATGATATCGCATTTAATCTCATTTAATATTGTTTCATTAATATAACAACTTGCTTCAGTTTTATTGATATCTTTCTCTAATTGAGGAAGCAAAAGTTCTTTCATTGATGTAATAACTTTTTTTGTTTCTTCATTTTACTCTAATTTAATATTGACAATATTTTAGTAATATTCATAAATTCTTTTAACCTTTTATTATTCTTCAATCAATAACTAATGAACTAATTAATATATAATACATCTTCCCAACTTTCAAAGCATTCTTTTATGTCTTATGAAATTTCTAATTCAGGATATTGTAATTATTTTATATTATTCTATTATCCTGTATAAATGAAACTACTTAAAAAATTAATAGATTCTTTAGCAATATCATAAGCTTTTGATCCAGCATTTGCAAGGGCTGATCCTATTTAATGAATATAAGTTTGATATTAAGATAGTTCTTAGAGTTCTTATTACATAATCTAATAATTTATTATATATTTATACTTCCTAGGATGCAGTTAGAAATATTTGAAATTTAATACTAATTTATAATTAAGGATTACCAATAATTTTATTTAAAAATTGTTCTAATTACTAAAATATAATATAAAATTATACTCTATATCGTTTTATTCTGATAAGTTGAGTATGTTCAGTTAAATTAATTTTTGCTAAAACAGATTTTTATGGTATGGCTGGAATAAGTATTCCTGGAAATTCTCGTTTTAATGCTGCATTAAGCCATTCAAAATGAGTGTATTTACGATGAACTGTATTAGCTGGTTGATAATCTATTTAACTCCAAACAACATATGATATATTTTCATAGTATTATGTGTAACTCTATTATACTTATTCAGTAATATGAAAAGAGATTTTATGAATGTTTGGTTTCTATATATTAATTTAAGATAATGATGGATATAGTATTTCAGAGACTATTTCCTATTATTCTGGACATGATTCTTATGATTCTAACTTTGGTTCATCTAAATCAATTGGGATATCTATTAATTCATTGTCCATTATTATAAAATGAAATAATAAAATTCATTACCCATTATTGAAACTAAACTTATTGGGGATACTCTTAGGTAATTAGCTTTATTATTTAGATTTCTAAAGACACCACTCTAAAGAAATAACTATTTAAAGGCACTTGTCAAATAAAAAGAAAAACAAAAATTAAAAGATGAGAAATAATTATTTCAATAAAAATAATAAGTTCTTTAACATAGTAAAAAGAAATTTCTTTCACTTCTCAAAAGTAGAAATAGTGAACTATCTTTTATGAAATTTCGTCCTATTTAAAAACCTCTTAATTTATTAAGAATGTGTGCAGAATTAAAAATTTCAGACAGAATTTCTAAATCTGTTGAATATGATGAAGTAATCGAATCTAAACCTTCTAGTAAATCAAATAGAACTAAACATAGTTCATCTTAATATTTTGATCATTCAGTTCATGTTTAATAGTTTAAAGATGAAAGCACTCCTAAATAAAGAGGAACATTGTAATATCTCTCTTCATAATCATTAATAAAAACTACTAATCCACCTTAAATTAAAATAGAAAAAAAATCAAATCCCACTTCTAATACTCAAACACCAAGATTAAAAATTTCTGTTAGAAAATTGCCATTAAATGAGTTAGAATAAAAACTTGAACATTTAAAATCTAATTCTGAAGATCTCAATCTTTAAACTGGAATTCTTTGTAGAGTTCCAAGCTAAATGTATTTCAAATTTATTAATTTAGCTTAATTCGAAATGGAATACTCTTGCCAACCTAAAAACATTAAATAAAAATAGCAAAACGTAAAGAATGTTGGGAAGATGATAATTCATCATTAGCTTCTCATACAGAATTAAAATTAGATTCTATTTACAATAATTCTAAACATCTCAAATAAGATCATAAAAACTATGAACATAAGAAAGTAGAGTATTAATAGGAATCTATCAAATTATTTTACAAGAAAATTTATTGTAAAATATGAACAATTATTTATTTAGACAGTTTCTTAGTTTTTTGAACTATCTTAACTTTAATTCAAAATCTATCTCTAAATTCTTATTCTCTCTATTAAAACAAATTATCCAATTATATGGGTAATCCATATGATTCACTTATTATATATTTTTCTAAAATCGTATTTTTATTTTATAAACCCTATTGTTATATTTCAGTAAATTTACATATTATTTTGTTTTAATAAATATTTTTTATAATAATATAATTTCTTAATTCTTAAAAGATTATTTATAATTCTACAAGATTTATATAGGAATTCAGATTTTGATATCTAAAGAGCTAATCTAATATTCAAATCAAATAAAATCAAAATAAAAACATAAAAATCTTAAAGAAAATTTATGGATATACAATTATTCTCATTTTAAGCATTTTGTCGACTTTTATATTGATATAAGCTAGACATAATCCTGATATCTATATTATTAACTTAAAAGAATAAAATGATAAGATTGTTTAAAAAATTAGACACATATCTTAATATGTAATTAAGGAGCTTAAAAACAAGAATAAAGAATTTACAAATTTATCAACTTAGAAGATTTCAGATTAGAAACTCATAGACTCAAATTTAGAAACTCATTTTTCACAGTGATTTTTGACTTTGACTATGCAGTATTATAACAAAAACAAAAATTTTAATAGTATCAATTTAATTTATAGTTGAAATCTATTAGACAATAAGTATATTAAATTAATTGTAAGGAATTAAAAAACCTTGAAAACTGTTTAAATATTAGAATAAGATACAAATGAAACTTTTAAATTTCTAATTAAATAAGATAAAAAGAAGTTCTTCAATTTTTTTTTATTGAAAGAAAATACTTCCAAAATTACAAATTAATTCTAAATTAATGGAAATTCCAGAGAAAATACATTTTATAAAAAATAATTAATAAAATTAAATATGAAAGTAAATAAAAAGTGGATTAATGATTATTTAATCCAAAAATTTAAGAAAATATTAATTGATTTAGAACAAGCAACTTTGATTTTAATTCAAATATATAATTAAAATATTTTTATTTAATATTTAGAATATAAGTTAATTAAATGCTTCAAAATTTTAATTATTTGCAAGAAATAAGAAAATGGATTGTGTTTTTTTGAATTATTTAGAGAAATTATTTAATTATTATTATTTATGATTAGATAATCAATCATCTTCTGCATGGGCTACTTATTGTAATACTCCAAAAACATAGAAATATCGATTAAAGCATTCATAAAACATCTCTTTTACTTTATTTTAATTGAGCTCTACTTTTTTCTTCTGGTTAAGAATATCATTTTTTTCTTTTTAATCTTTAGCTCTATCAGCTAAGCCTTATAAATATTCTGGTTCATATAATCTATTAATATAGGCATCTTCATTAATAACAGCTTTTGCACAAACTCTAAACATCTTATCTTAAAAGTATTAATTTTAAAGTTCATCAATTTCTTATTCGTTCGGTTCGTCCATAATTAATTTTATAATATTAATATAGATCTATTCATTATTTATAATTTCATATCCCTAAATGCTAATATCAAGAATAAGAACATTGAAAAATTTAACTACAACTTTAAAGCCTTTATAAAATAATCGAAACTATAAATTTTGTAATAGTGAAGCTAGCAAGAATGCAAAATTTGATAGAAATGCTCATTTTGAAGATCCTGTAAATGAATGGGTAGATTCATCAAAAAGATGGTTAATAGGAGGATGGTTACTTGTTTGTGCAGGTGGAGTTTATTTTATGGTTTTATTAGGTGGATATACAAGACTTACTCATTCAGGTATAAATTGATTGAATGATATTTTAGGATTATCAATGACAAAATGGAAACCTATAGAATATGCATATCCAAGAAATCAATCTGATTGNTATCAATTTAATTTATAGTTGAAATCTATTAGACAATAAGTATATTAAATTAATTGTAAGGAATTAAAAAACCTTGAAAACTGTTTAAATATTAGAATAAGATACAAATGAAACTTTTAAATTTCTAATTAAATAAGATAAAAAGAAGTTCTTCAATTTTTTTTTATTGAAAGAAAATACTTCCAAAATTACAAATTAATTCTAAATTAATGGAAATTCCAGAGAAAATACATTTTATAAAAAATAATTAATAAAATTAAATATGAAAGTAAATAAAAAGTGGATTAATGATTATTTAATCCAAAAATTTAAGAAAATATTAATTGATTTAGAACAAGCAACTTTGATTTTAATTCAAATATATAATTAAAATATTTTTATTTAATATTTAGAATATAAGTTAATTAAATGCTTCAAAATTTTAATTATTTGCAAGAAATAAGAAAATGGATTGTGTTTTTTTGAATTATTTAGAGAAATTATTTAATTATTATTATTTATGATTAGATAATCAATCATCTTCTGCATGGGCTACTTATTGTAATACTCCAAAAACATAGAAATATCGATTAAAGCATTCATAAAACATCTCTTTTACTTTATTTTAATTGAGCTCTACTTTTTTCTTCTGGTTAAGAATATCATTTTTTTCTTTTTAATCTTTAGCTCTATCAGCTAAGCCTTATAAATATTCTGGTTCATATAATCTATTAATATAGGCATCTTCATTAATAACAGCTTTTGCACAAACTCTAAACATCTTATCTTAAAAGTATTAATTTTAAAGTTCATCAATTTCTTATTCGTTCGGTTCGTCCATAATTAATTTTATAATATTAATATAGATCTATTCATTATTTATAATTTCATATCCCTAAATGCTAATATCAAGAATAAGAACATTGAAAAATTTAACTACAACTTTAAAGCCTTTATAAAATAATCGAAACTATAAATTTTGTAATAGTGAAGCTAGCAAGAATGCAAAATTTGATAGAAATGCTCATTTTGAAGATCCTGTAAATGAATGGGTAGATTCATCAAAAAGATGGTTAATAGGAGGATGGTTACTTGTTTGTGCAGGTGGAGTTTATTTTATGGTTTTATTAGGTGGATATACAAGACTTACTCATTCAGGTATAAATTGATTGAATGATATTTTAGGATTATCAATGACAAAATGGAAACCTATAGAATATGCATATCCAAGAAATCAATCTGATTGGGAGAAAGAATTTGATCATTACAAATAATTTCCAGAATATTAACATACTCCTATAGATTTAGAAAAATTCAAGAAAATATTTATTGTTGAATATTTACATAGAGTATCTGGATCAACTTTAGGAGGTCTTTATGTCTTACCTTTAGTTGCATTTACTGCTATGAAATGGATAAAACCAAAATATGCTAAAAGACTTGGTGCTATAGGAGGACTAGGATTATTATAAGGATTAATTGGATGGTGGATGGTTAAATCAGGATTAGATCGTCCAAAGCCTGAATATTAATAAAAGCCCAGAGTATCTACTTATAGACTTACTGTACATTTATCTATGGCTTTATCATTATATTCTCTATTAATATGGAATGCTGCTACTCTTTTTAAAAAGTCTTAACATTTATAAATAACTCCAGAAAATTATAAAACTCATCTTAAATTTAGAGGATTAGGAATTGGTTTAATTCATTTAGTAGCAATCAATTTATTAACTGGAGCTGCTATGGCAGGTATAGATGCTGGAAAAGTATTTAATACTTGGCCTACTATGAATGGATAAATTGTTCCTGCTAATTTATTTAAGACTTCACCATTCTATAAGAACTTTTTTGAAAATGTTGTTATGTAATTATTCTCATCATTTTAGGGTTCAATTTAATCATAGAAATGCTGCATATTTAACATATGCCTTTGGATCTTATATTACTTATCTTGCTTATAAAAGTAATCTACCTAAATAGGCAAGATATATTTGTTATGCACTCTATGGTGTTCTTAATTATTAATTACTTACAGGAATTGTAGCTTTACTCAATTAAGTAAAATTATTTATTAATCTAGGTCTAAGTTCATTCTGGAAGTATCCATTAATTTAATGCCTTAAATGTTCTTACAGCTAGTTTATTACTATGCCATAGTGTTAGAAAACCAAGCCTACCTTATAGAAATTATTTAAAACAATTTGTTTGAAAAATAAATCTATTTAAGGGTATATATTATATTATATAATATTATTCTATTATATTATTTTTTCTTTCTTGTTTCTTTAAATTATAAGAAATCTTCAAAATTAGTTCAGATATACTTTTATTATATCTCTATATTCATTTTAATTCAATAATAATATTTTATATTAATAGAATTTAAAAAATTAACTAAATATTTTTAAAATGTTTGATTAAATTATTTTGCTATTTTCTAAAACTTAAATTTTTTCAATAAGGTGATAATAAGGAATCAAATAATTAACATAAAATGAATATACTTCATTAAATTTTATTAAATTAGTTTAGTTTAAATAATTCATCCAAATTGAATTTTACATATATAGTAAGGAAAACATATTAAGAAATAAAATAAATTTTTTAGACAGAATTAAAAAATAAAATTTAAGTTAGAAAATGATAAAATGTGTTTAATAATTATGAGTGATCTTGTAATTTAAGAATTTAATTAAAAATGCCGCCAATCAATTGATATTTATATTATAAAGGGATAATAATTAAGCCATAAATAACTCAATTCAATTTTTGATGAAAATAATACTGGTTGCGGCACTTAGGAAGAAGAGTATGATACAAGTTTTAATAGAAAGCGCCTTGAACATTTTTTCAATTGAATTTCCTAATACTTGTAACCATACTTGTTGTGTTCGAATTTTCATTTCTATGTCTTAGTTTATACAAATTTCTAATTCTTAACATCTTTGAGCCATTGATTCTATTAAATAATTTTCTGAGCATTAATTTTGTTCAAATTCTGCTCTACATATTTTCATTTCAATTAAGGTTTCAGTTCTTGTAACTTCGATTTGCGCTTAAACATCCTTATATAATTCACAAGCTATCACAAAAAAAGATACAAGCAAAAAGCTTTTTAATAAAGCAATTGCCCATATTCCAATATAATCTCCTATTGTCATAGGAGTAAGCTTTATTGATTTTTCAACTGAACCATCTCCATATTTTCTAGCAGATAATTCCATTTTTATATTGCCTTTATTGAATCTATCCATAAACTAATTAAGTGTTTACACTTACTTTAGATTATAATTCCATCATAGCATCGTTTTCTGTAAATTTAGCAATTTGGTTTTGACTTGTCATTTCAGTTGATTGATTGTCAATTAATTATAATATTTATATATTATATTTTTTTCCACTTTTAATATTTATATGCTCAAACTACTTCTTATTATTAGACTTATGGTTCTTCATTATTTTAATCATGACCTAAATCTTAATTCTCTATATGTTAATCTTCTTTTTATTCTTGATTCTAGAATTGGTTTTATTCCTCTTAATGTTATTCTTCTGAGTGTTTTTCAACATCTTGTCCATTATTTATATTATCTGAATGATTTTCTTATTATTATTCATTTTATTCTGAATTATTTTCTTTTGATGATTTCTCAGCAGAATGTTATTCTTAGTTTACTTAAGAAGTTTATTATTATTATTAGAATTATTCGTCAGTTTATTATTAATCTCCAGTTTAAGGGGTTGGTTATTTTCCTTTTTTAGCTATTTTCTTATCATCTTATTTTATTTCTGGTTTTTTTTCATTTGTTTTAGTTTGATTTTTTGATGAGCCATTAGTTTTTTAATCTTATGGTTTATCTGCCTTTTTTGGTGCTTCTTTTGGTTTTTCAGTTTTCTCATGCTACACTGGAGGATTTTATTTATTTTATTTTGGTTTATCTGCTTTTTTTTCATCTTTTTAGGGTTATCCTTACTTTTAAGGTTATTCTATTAAAATATTTATTAATATTACCTTATGCTTATTATTTAGGTTCTTTTTATTCTTTTTAATCTTTTGTATCTTTTTAATCAGTTTATTTTTAAGGTTTTGCTTTTATTTATGGAGGTTATTATTATGGTTATACTTGAGGTTTTGGTTATTTTTATGTTGAATCTCTAGGTGATTTCAAAGGCACTATATTTTATTAATTACTATACCTTTTTCAACTTCATTTGTTGTTGTCTTATCTACAATTACACTTTAGCTTAAAGGTTTCTAACCAGTTTAAGGTCTAGGCTCTTTTACTTTATTTTGTTCATTCTTTTAAACAACAGCAGTTATTGGACGCTCTTATTTTTTATTTTCTAATTAAATTGAATTTATTATAATATTTTTTACCATGATTTCCATTATTATCTTTCTTTTATTCTTACTTTACTTATTCTAATTAAATTATTATTAATTATACTTTTTTCTTCTTCTTATTTTAATGGCTTAAGTGAACTCACTAATTACTTTAATTAACTCAATTCTTGAATTAGAGAATTGATTTAATCTTCATTTTATTGATCCCTTATTTTTAATTCTTCTACTCTTTCAAGAACAGGTTTTAATAATTCAGAAAGATGTTACTCGACCTCAGGAGATATCTATTACATATCTAAATTTCAAAATTTATATTATTTTATTTGTTTTTTCAAAAAATGTGTACCAATTTGCATAAATTAATTTACGTCATAATTGTTAAATAAAATATGAAAATATTTATAAAAACTTTTATATATATATCTAGATATTCAAACTAAGTTCAAATCAACATAATCTTTACAAATGGGACAATATTTTTATTTTTAAAGCCATTTTTTAATACAATCGTAATGAAACTAATGTTAACAATCTAATTTTATATCTAATTTTTCTTTAGAAGGTAATATATCATCTAAACAAATCATACAATTATCTATTTGATTTATTTAAACTTTTTTTTTATCTAACTAAAAGATTTTACTTTAATATCCAATTTATTCTTCTAAATCTACTGAAGTAAAATACTCATATAATTCTTCTTGAGTTAATTTATTAACTTATTCATTTGTAAGTCTCATACCTGGCTCAAATTTAAAAGGTTTTTTTTTTTTCTATACTAACTATTTTACTATGTGTTATTATTACTACTATTACTTCATAACATTTCTTTGATTATTATTTATTTCTTTATCCTAATTTATTTTTAACTTTTATTCATTCTATTACAATTATGGCTCTGTTTTTATTTAAAATATTTAATTTTATTTTATTTAAATAAAAGAAAATATTTCTGGTTAATGATGTTATTCCTAATTATTTACATCATCCTCGTTTTATTTAATCTATTTTTCTTCTTCCAATTAATTTACTTATTTATTTTCCTCTCCAGATTAAATTTCTTATTCACTGTTCTCTCCAGATTATTATATATTAGGAGATTAAATATTTTTTTCACCTTCCTCTTGTCTTTCATCATTATCACATAACTATTATCTATATAATTGAGGTTCTATATTTAAGTTCATTTATTCTATATCTTCATAACTATCCTAATCTTTAATTTGAAATTCCTCTACTTTTAACACATTTTATATAATTTCTGATTAATAATTGTTATTCTAGATTTTCTAAATTTAAGAAAAGAATTATTTATTTTAAGGTTTTAGTGAAGAACTATTTTAATGATTCTAATTAATAATAATTTCTGATTATTATTTTTTATTTTTTGATTATTGCTATTATTATTATTATTACTATTATTATTATTATTATTATTATTACTATTATTATTATTATTATTACTATTATAATTACTATTACTATTATTATTATTATTATTATTATTATTATTATTATTACTATTATTACTATTACTATTATTATTATTCCTATAATTAGATTTACGATATTTGCTCTTATAATTAATCTAATTAAAAATTCTAAAAATATAAGAAATAATATTACAGAGTTTTTATTCTGAATTAATATTTAACTTTAAAGATAGTCCTACTTTAGTATTTAAGATTCTAAATTCTTTTCAAATTAATTATCATCTATCATAATTTCTTTTTATTTAATGGAAGAATTTAAACGATATCCTTCAATCTATGATGACTTTTTATCTGAAAAGATAGTTGAAATAAAATTCTATTCTGCAATTAATTTTGCTAGTTAATTGTCTATATATTCTTATTTAGTATTCGAAAAATTGTCCAAGCAATGAGATTGATGTTCTTTAAGTTCACTTATTTTAAATTAAATTCCACAAATAAAACATTTATCTTTTTCTTCTTAATTGATGTTTTCATCTATTTTAAAATCATTCTACAGCATATTATGAATGATATGAACCTTTAATAGATTTATAAGATAATTAATTTAAAGAAACCAATATAAAAAAAATTAACAATTCTAAATGCTGATTAGTTAAATTGTCAACACAAATGATTTTAAAAAATAATGAGATTCTAATTATCTTTCATTTTAATATTAAATAATACTAATTTTGTCCCATCGATAACCTTCAAAATAAATTTAGATTCATTTAAAATCTACATCTATTATTACTCGAATAATCAGAGATCTGAAGAATTTACAATATAATGAATTGCTGAATTGTATTCTTTGAATAAAAGTTCTTGAAATTTATTTAAATTTACAAAAAGAAGCATTTCTAAATTTCAATTCTTATTAATTCTTGCCAATAATGTCTGTTTCTTTAAGAAAACATATTTCCTAAATCAAACATCAAATGTAGAATATTTTTTAATTATAATAATAATCTAAAGTTTTAAATTACAAAATCAAAAATGATAGTTTAAAAAATGTTTTCAATTATTTTGATCAATACTATTTTCTAAACTCATTATATATTGCATATCAACAATTCTTAGTTCTTAAGCAGCTTAAACCTATAATAGAAATAATTAATTACCTTCATTATTTCATCTTAGAGTCTTTTAGATAAATCAATACACTGTTTTCTCGAATTTTATAATTAAACAGATAATAATTCAGTTTTATCATTTAATACTTATTATAATGTAGCACAATACTTTTTTATATCAATATTTAAATTTTAATTGTGAAGCAATTCAAATAATTCTAAATATTTTTATTCTAAAGTTTCCTATTTGGTTTCTAGGATATTTATATATTCTAACTATTGTTATAATTCAATTGTGAATTGCTTTTATTATTTAGTTAATTCTATGAGTTATCTAGCCTCTTAAAAATATAATTATTTCCATCTTTGATTTTAATCATGTAATTTTTGATATTATTCAAAAGAATTTTACTAATTTTATTGTTATTATTTTGAAATTATTGATTCTTTTAATTAAATTAACTAGTATTCACTTGTAATATAATCTCTTTTTAGCAATTATAGTTTTGAATGTACAAGTATAGCTACCTATTCAAAAGTTTAATTTTATTTAATTGCTTAATCTATTTCTTATTTATGAGAATCGTTGTGTAATTATACAAGTTCAGAGCATGCATCTAATAAAATACTCGGATAATTGAAATAATAAATACAAAAATGCTTTTTCAGGATTATCTTATTTTGAGTTAGAATTTTCATTATTTAATTCTATACTAGCTAAAAATCTGCTAGTACGTTTATCACTATGACTCTTATTTTAATAACTTGTATCAAGGGTTTAATTTTAAGTTTACTTTGATTTACTTCTATTAGATTTAATGGACATAATTGAAAAATTTTAAATTAATTCTAACAATAATTTATATATTTATAAATTTAAATTAAACTAAATTTTGTTATATAATAATCACCATCTTATACGAACAATAAGAGATGATATCATTAATGCTAAAATACAAATAGATTTAGCAATTTTTCCAAGATTTTTCATTTTACTAATGAATTACATTTAAATTTACTTTTTTAACATGAAATAAATAAAAATCCATGAAAGTACAATGAATTTTGAACTACTATTATTTTTGGCAATCAATCCATGATTTAATGCTCTAAAATAACCTAAATTATGTATGTATATATATAATACTAATTCTCTTATCCTTGTTAATTTGTTTTTAACACCAATTTATGATGACATTTTTAACTCTTTCAAATTCTATATCATTCTAAAGTTCATGAAATCCTTTATCAAATAGTTTTAGAGTTTTATCTTTTGAACCTGATTCACGATACAACTCTACAGAATTCATATGACTTGCTACTTTATCTTCTTTACCATGTAAAATTAACAAAGGTTGAGTAAATCTAAAATAATTCTAATAAATTACTAATGAGCATTTGGTAAAATATAAGAATCTAACTATAATATATTATAAGCCATTCCAATACTCATAAATGGTTATACAAGACTATCCTCAGCAACACTCTTTATTACATTATTGTTTTTACTACAATGACCATAATCTATATATGAATTAACCATTAGACCCTAAAAAAATATTCATATATGATACAGGTATGATCTTATTCATTAATGTAAGCAACATCTTTTTTAAGAATCCATATTTTTAAGCAAATTTCAGATAGGGATTAACTACTATAACTCCTTATAGAATAAGGGATGGATTTGAAATACAAAAGCTTAATCCAACTGCAGCTCCTAAAGATTAGCACTACAAAAAAATTGGTTATGATCTTTCTATTGTTAATAAAATGCATTCGAGATCTTAATGCATTTATTTTATATCAGCATGACTTCTTATACCTCCTGAATTACCAAATCCTCTTTAGTCATACAAAATTACTTAAAATCCATATTTTGCATATTCATCTGCTACCTAATAATGATAATGTATAATACATGAAAGTATCTTCCAGAATGATCTCCATATCCGTGAAGAATCACAATTGTTGCTATTGGATTTTAAGGAATGCAATATGTAGTATACAAATTTAATCCTTTTGTCATTGTAGGAACATATTTTCTAGATACAAGATAGGTTTCTTCATGCCACTCTCCTAAGAATCTATTGGAATACTATTGATTTAATGATCTATTTTATTAGAATTCTTGACTTAAACAAAATGAGGCTTTTATGAATGATTATTGATACAGTTCATATCTATAGTTGAATTAGGTTTTTAAAGTTGATAAGAGGAATCTTAAACGATGTATGAACTACTATTTCTTCTCATCTTTAAAAAATAAAAATATTGTATTTTTAATTTTTTTTAAAAATAAAAAAAGTTTTTTTGTAAAGTATTTAGTTTGATTAATATAATGGTTTTAATAATTAATATTAGAGATTTATAAATAGGTATTCAAATTCAAATATGTCAAAAATAAATTAAAGAGCGAATAGTATAGATGAATTTAGAATGATTAATAGAAGAACTCAGAAAGAAAATCAGAGCTAGAACAACAAAACTTTAGATGAAAAGTTACTATTAATTGAGAAATAATTAGTTTAAAATGAGAGTTATAATGATTAATATTTGCTCACAAATTCAATAGAGGCAAATGCAGTTCCTTTGAAAACATAAAATTAGAGCATATCTTTTAATTTATAATCTATTGAAAACGACAGGTTTAATTCAAAAAAGACAAGTATAATGGATGAATGCTAGAAAAAATCATATGATTCTGTTAGGGATAATGCTTCTAAATATTAGAGTAATAACAATAATGATTCAGCTTTGATGATGTTGCTTAATGAATTTGAAAGGAGATTTGAATAAATTGAAGAAAGATTACAAATGAGGTAATAATTTAATATATTTAGTGAGAAAACAAATAGATAATATTAATAAAACAATAAATCAACTGCAGATTATTTTAATGGAATTTAAGAGAAGCTTACAATATTATTATAAAGAATAGGGAAGTTTGAATTGAAATTAAAATAATTAGATGAAGCCTTTCAAAGCCATAAAAATTAAACAGAGAAAAGAATTATTGAATATAATTAGCATGTATCATCAAATTGGATTATTAGGTTGATTAATCATTAAAATCATTTTTGGATGTATCACTTAAAATTTAAAAAAAAATTGAGAGAATAACGTCAAAAGATAATCTAACCGAAGTAGAAGTATTGAAATAAAAAACAGAAAATATTACTTATAATTTACAACGTACTCATGAACTATTGAATCAATAAATGAATGACTTTAATTAATTGTAATAGTCTGTAAATTAAGTAAAAAAATAAATAATTATTATTTTAAGGTAATTCGTGAAGATTATTTTAATAATTTATTCGAAGAGATAGAGACCATAAAAGATCAATATTAATAAACAATGCAATATTTGAAAGATTTATAGGAATTTTTAATAAAATGATTTTGAACTTAATTTCTCAAAAATGTATGTAATATATATAAATGTTTAATTATTTTGTAATAGTTTTGATATTATATTAAAGGGTATGGTTAGTTAGGTTAGGTTGATGCTGATTATTATGATCAGTATGAACCTGATATAGTTGAAATAACAGATATAGGTACAAATTCAGGTTTGAGTTCATCAAATTTATAAATTTTTGTACCTTTATAAGATGCTGAGATTTGTGTAGAATCAAATTGTGTTGAAGAGATTATTGCATGTAAACATAAAGTAAATTGTTTTGGTAATTATGGTAGGTTTTTAATATTTTATAACAAAACTCTTTCATTTAAGAATAGCAAAGAACCATTATTAAAAAGTGGTTGGTTTAAAACAAAGGGATTGAATGGATTATTGATAAGCATATTATTTGTGTTAGATTTGTTGTTATTTTGAGAATAATTAAAATTTATCTGTTATAAAATGAATCAACTGAAAAAACATATCTCTGTTAAATGTATCAATTTTAACACATAATCTACTAATATACGAAGTAGAAGTATTTCAAACCAAGTATCAAAGAATTCAACAGATCGATCTAGATCAGTTAGTAAACAATGTCCAGCCATTAAGTAGTGATATTAATTGAATATTATAGATTACCTATACCTGTTAAGAAATCTGAAACTACATCAATGACAAATTCAAAACAAATATCTAAATTAGGAAAAGTAAAAATTGATCTAGGAAATAACGCTACATCACGCAGTTAATAAACTACTAAAAAATCTAGATCAAATAGTTAATTAAGTAAAGAAGAATCATTTCCAAAGATACTTCCTGATTTTGGAAGAATGGAAACTGAATTACTTGATAGTTAGAATTTCTTTCTTTAATTACCTGAAATTCACTTTCCTACAAATGAAGATATAATAAAAGAGAGACTTATTTTAGCAAATAGAATTGCTTATACAATTAAAACAAAGAAACGAATCCCTCCTTCAACTCCTGATTTTTATAAGGTATTCAATCTCTAACCCTAGTAAGGTAGTCTTGCTATGTAATAGGAAAAGGAGCCTTTGCTAAAGTATATTTAGGTATTCATATATTAACAGGTGCTAAAGTAGCAATGAAAATAATTGAAAAATCAACTTTGAAAAGTGAAAGTGCTAAAAAAAGATTATTATTAGTAAATATTTATTTCTATTTTTAGGAAATCACAATTATGAAAATTCTCTCTTAATACAAATAATTTACATAATTATATGAAGTATTCGAAACTAAATAATAAATTTATATTATTATGGAATATGTAGAAGGTGGAGACTTAATGAAATGGACTAAAGAAAAACCTATTCCAGAAATATAAGCCAAAAATATATTCAATTAATTGATATTAGCTCTCTAAATATTCTAAACTCATAATATCTTACATAGAGATATCAAATTAGATAATATTTTACTTTAAGAAGATTCAATCAAAATCTGTGACTTTGGGGTTAGTAGATAAATAATTAAAGGCTAAAAAATATTAGAATAATGTGGAACTCCTGCTTATATGGCACCTGAAATACTTTTTAGTAAAATAGGATATGAAGGATTTGCTAGTGATATATGGAGTTCTGGAGTTCTACTTTATATATTATTAGTTGGTAAAGTGCCTTTTAAAGGAAATAATATGAATGAATTAAATCATAACATTTAAAATGGACAATTAAATTTTATTGAAATGAAAAAACAAAACTTATCTAACGAATCAGTTGGTATATTATCTATATTTATATTAGATCTTATTAAATCAATGTTGAATGTTAATCCAAAAGTAAGAATAACCTTAACCGAAATTATTAATCATTAATGGCTCAAAGATTAAAATATTAAATAATAAAAATAAACTTCGAACATTCAAAACTTAGACTTAAAAGTAATTTCTTAGATTGAATTATATGGTTATCAAAGAGAATTTATTATAAAAAGTTTGTAAAATTAAACATTGTGTCACATTAATGCTATTTATTCAATATTAACCAAAGCTTAAAAATGATATATATATACTAACTGTTTTTAAATAATATCTATATATATATTAGTGATTATAATAGCTTATCAAGCTGTTGGGTTTAGATTAGCTAATTCTGTCTTTAGAGTGGATCTAACTCTTGAAATAAAATCTATCAAATATAATGAGAATTAATTACCCTCTTGTATTAAACCCTAATTAAACACTGTTTAATTAATTTCATTTAACTAAATACTGAAATTTTTCATTTTATCATTAAACTTTATTAATTCTCTAGAAAATTCTATGTCTACTCTACCTTCTTCTCCTTACAATTTTGATTTTATATTAAAATTTTAAGTTGCATTTTCTTATCCTTAGCCTGCCTCATTATCAAGTGTAGTTTCTGGTTCTTTTGGTTGTTTTCCACTTAATATATAGACTCTATCTTTGCTTTATAATACAACATCCATAGGTGGTTTTAAAAATACATATGGTTTATTATTGTTTTTAACTTTTTCTCCTCTATATAATCCAATTGGTATCATTTTTTATTCAGTTAAGAGAATCTCAAAAAGTTCTCCAAATGTTTTTTCCTAATATTTTGGGGGTACATTTATTAAAAATAGATTACTTTGCTATAATTTACATGCTTGATATAGTTTTTTATTCTAATATATAAATAATAAAATACTTTTTTATTCACAGAAGCACTTCCTAAAATCATTTAATCAAAAATACTTGTAATAAATGGATTATAATAAGCCTAACAGATAAGAGTATCAAGCATAGTAGAAATATAAATTTCACCAGATGCAAATGGTTCACTAACAGACCAATCATACTTTTGAACATAATTATTTCTCGAGATCTACAAAAATGATATTGTGGAAATAGATGCAAGTTCAGTTATTATATTAATATTAGAATTTAAGAGTTTAACAGTCTTATAAATAAATATGGTATCAGCATCTACTATATTAGAAATACCTTCTTCTTAATCTGCAGATTTTTGAAGAATTACTAAAGCTGATGCTTTTTAAATACAAGCTTTTTTTAGATCTTCTGTATTTAATGGAGATCCTTATTAAAAATACACTTTTGGAAATTTGTTAATTTATAATTAAATTTCAGTTGGAATTAGATCTTAATTTAAAATGACAATAGGTTATATATTTTTGAGTGATCTAGCTCTAAGAGGCATCATTAAATATTTCATATCAGTAACAACACCACAAACTATAAAATGATTTTCAAATTTATCTTAATCACCTACTTTTGGAAGTCCTGTAGTAATGGTTTAAGGTTTAACTTAATAATAAGAAGGATGTTTAGAACTATCATCTTTAAGACCTTCACTTAATATTTCTTTTAAATATTCAGTCTCTTATTAAAGAGCATTTTTATTATTTCCTTATCTTTACACATTAGGAAAACAATAATTCTTTTAAATATATTCAGGGAATTTAGTTTATTAAATTTTTTCAACATTTGGCATTTCTGTAGCAATTACATATCCATAATGTAAATAATCTTCAAAAAGATAATCAGCTGGATTAACAAATACACTTGTTCCAGATTCTAATTCAACTTCTAAAGCGAATAAAATAATATTTAATTCTTTATAAATGGCTTAAGAAATCTAACAAAGATATAAGATTTAAATAATTACTTAACTAAAAGTCAAACCAACAAATGCTTCAGATTCTAAAGGAACTCTATAAATTTCATTTTACATTCCACATAAATAATCATCAATCCATTCACATTTATTTTTGTCATATTTGGATGTATCATATTATGGTTTTGATGATTGAATTAAAAAAGAAATTAATGTATTGATTCCAGGACATAGACAAGTCTTTCCCAAAAGATATAGTTTAAGTTCATCTACGCAAATAACTTGATCAGTATCATAACCACCTAATGAATTAAAATATAAATCTTTGCTTGAAGGTTACAATACTTGTAAACAAACTCTAGCCCCTTTTCTAGATTTCTATTTTCTAGCAAATTTTTTAACAGCAAATGCATGAATAATATTTCTATAATCATCTCTTTTAGGTGTTCTACTTGTTTTATTAGCCAACACTATAACACAATTACAATCTTTAGAACTACATCTCTCTAAATCTTTATTTTATAAAGGATGTCCTTCTAAATATATGACTCTCTAAGCTAAAGCAGGTTACTTAAGTTAAATAGTCATTTCTTCTGTTGGACCTGATGGTTATAAAATAACAGTATTTGTATCATTCATACCATGATCACTATGATAGAGTTCATTTAAAAATGTCTTGAATCCTTCAACTTATGATGATCCTAACAATAAAATATGTTCTTATTCTTTTTTTGAAATATATTTATTTCTTGCAAAATGACTTCTTAAACTGTAAACACGAGTAAGCATCTCTACTTATGTTGGTAGTACTAAAAACATTATTAAAATTGCAACTATTATTGAAAATCTTCCATATATGGTTGTTGGGTACACATCACCAAAACCAACTGTTGATATAGTTACAACCATAAAATAAATATATTCAACTATCGAATAATCTTATTCCACTACGTACAATACTGAAGAATTTATCATTATTATTGCCATCACTGTTACTATTGGTTTATAAGCTAACCTAAATACTCTAAATCAAATCTATCTACTACCTTCCATTGATTATCGCTAAAGTACTTTATCCAACTTATAACACTGTAAAAATCGCAGCACTCTTGATAAGTAGATATATTTATATCCTGTGATGATATTTAATCTTGCAAGTAAAGACGGCAGTATCGAAACATATTCAACTAATGAGGTTGTTTGAAAAGTAAAGAATAATTTATTTTCTGATAAGTAAAAGTTTATTATGAAATCCAGGATAAAATATAAGTAGCATATTAATTCAGGAATCTAAGAACTTATTATTCATTTGAATTTACTGTGATATAGGTTTAAGCATCGCCAACATCTTAGGTTCCATATATCCAAGAGTAGCAATCTATTAAATGAAGTATAGTTAATAGAAAACTTAATAAAACATTAATGGTATCCAAATAATCACCTATCCCTGAAGTTGATAAGTATTTAGCCAATTTTAATGTAAATGTTGTTTTACCTTCTTCATGTTTTTTAGTTGTTGCATCATCCTCTGAAGTAACTAGTCTAATTAGAGCATATTAATCTTGATGACTAAAGATGGATTGTTTGCCTTCATAGATCATAAATATTTCAGATTAGTATTTATTAAATTAAATTCAAAATCCAAATGATCATTGAAGAGAATGAATTTGATAAGCAAATCGAAGATTTACTTAATAAAGAAAAGACAGCAAGATTAGCCAACAATTTAGTTGAAACATTAAAAGTTACAAAATAAATAGCAAAACTTTGTTTTGATACTAAATAATACTCAAAATTCAATGAATTGATAATATCTCTTAGTAAAAAGAGAGGATAGCCAAAAAAAGCACAAATTGAACTTGTTTAAATGGCTATGGTAGAATTAAAGACTTTGTCAATAAATTAAAAATTAGAAATGATAGATGCTATAATGAAAGTTTGCGAAAAAAAGATTTACTTAGAAGTAGAATATGCTAGATGTGTACTGATGCTCACATAATATAAAGAGGATGATAATTAAATAGCTGATGCTGCAAAGATATTATAAGAAGTATAGGTAGAAACCTATGGTTCTATGGATAAGAGAGAGAAATTAGAATTTATCTTATATCAAATGAAAATTATGATTAAGAAATAAGATTATGTTAGATTGTATATAATCTCAAAAAAGATTGAACCTAAAAATATAGAAGATGATAATATTGCAGATCTTAAGATTATCTATTATTCATTCTTGGTTATGTACTACAGACATGAGAATAATTATAAAGAAACAGCACATGCTTATTCAAAGATTCTTGAATCATTACATAAAAATAAATAATTAGAATCAACCAAGGTAGATTTCAATTTTAGAATTGATTATAATACAATTTTAGAAAACTATGCTATGTATACAATATTGAGTACTTATTCTGAAGAAAAAGTATAACTATAATTATAATGTAGTAAAAATAATTACAATCCCTTGTTTCCACATATAAATACGGTCTAGAAGCTTTGCCTAATTTGTAGTAATTAATTTAAGCCTTTTTGGGATCAGAACTAATAAGTACTTCACCATAAAGTCACAACATTCAAGTAGCTGAAATATTTGATGAAAATATAGAGAACAATTAACAAAGATATGTTGGTATTGGATTGATGAAATTATGATAGATTTTAGAAGACAATTGATTCATCACAACCTGAGAATATTTTAGATATACTATGATTCTGTTTATTTGAATAGAATAACAGAATTAATCGGTATTAGTACTTAAGAATTAGAAGAAGAGATTTGTTTAATGATGGATTAAAAGGTATGGAATTAGGAATATAGATTAGTTGCTGAGATGCAAAATAGATAGAATATAAGGTATAGTAGACTACTAGTTAAAAAAGAATGAGAATGATGTATTGCAAGAATGGGGGGAGAATGTTAATAAAGTTTTGAATTTGATTGATCTTACAAGCAATTTAATAAAAAGAGAAGAAGAGTTATTTTTGTGAGCCAATAATTATATAATAATTGAATTTCATTTATGTATTCTGAAGGGATAGAAGATTCACAATACTCTAGAAATAACATAAAGTAATATGATGAAGGAGAAGATTAAGAAGGTGATATAGAATGATAATATTATGATGAGGAAGAATAAGATATGTAACAGAAAGAAGAATGTTAGAATATACAAAAGAGCAATAGGATAAGTAATACAGCCATATAATATAGTAAAAGGGCTTTAAATATTAACCATTTGATTCAAGAAAATGGTAATCGGCAGAACAATTAATATAGAAGAAATTAGAGGTAATCATTTAGCGAAATTGAGGGGAGCTTAAATTTTATTATTTGGAGGATATTATTATGTATATAAAGATAAATACTTAAATGACTCATAAGAGGAGAAAATGTTTATTCAGAGATTTATATTCTCTGACCATTAATATTAATTTTTTATCAGACACCAGAAGGATCTGGTTATCTAATTGCTAGATTTTCTCAGTTTGCTATTAGTTCGCTTCAACTTAAATGATAATATTTGGAGGTTGGAATGGCATTGATTATTATATTAATGATCTTTAAGTTTTAGATTTAGAAGTCATGGCATGATCTTAACCTAATTGTACAAGACTTTCTCCTACTCATCATTTAGGGCATATAGTAACATAAGTTGGAGCAAATTTAATTAGATATGGAGATTTCTATTTTTAAGAAGATTAGAAACTTAAAAAATTACATCAAACTGTTAATCCAAGACATGGATAATATCTAAATGATATTCGAATTCTCGATACTGAACATTTGGCATTAGAAAGATTAAGAATTAATGGTACTTTAAAATGGAGATATTCAGCTAATGTTAGTGGTGCCGATTTTTTGTTTTTGGGTCATTAAATTGAAGAGCTAGAAGGTTTTATTATCTATAACTATTTTAGAGAAAATAATTTTAATAAACAGACCTAGAAAATGTGATGGAAAAAACCAAGTAAATGCTAACAGAAATATATATGGACATACTGCTACTTCTATAAGTCTATATATTCTAATTTTTGGAGGCTAAGAATATAACAGAGCTACTTATCTATTTTTTGAACTGAGAGATTCCTTGTTGGATATTAATAGTATGAGAAGAAAAAATGATATTAATTATAAAAAAATGAGTAGTTTGGAATCATCACCTAGAAATTCTTTTCATATTGTTAATATTCTGGAAAAGTACAAATAGAAAAAAACGATAATGAGTCCTCTTCCTCTAGAATCATTTTAATCAATTGTTAAAGATGCTGGATAAGAATTACTTCAATAACATCCTGAGTGTGATAATACTCATTTCATTTCATTCAAATAGCTTAATCAAGATGCTATTGATGAACTCTAAAGATCTCTACACTAATCTAAAATTATGTGGAATCATTTTAGCAGAGCTTTATTTGCAGCGAGTCCTATTGAAAAATAAAATAGTTCTAAGAAAATGGAATTGCTACATAATAGAGATGCTTACTATCGTATAAAAAAATAAAATGAAATTCAATTAAAGTTACAACTAGATGGAGTAAATAAAGAATACCAAAAAATACATCTTGAGACTTAGGGAGTTAAATCATATCCATCTATCTCAATCAAAGATTAATTTCGCTAATAATAGATTAAAAGATAATTATAATTGGGATGTTCCTAAGAACTTGTACATTAAGAGACTAAATTTATTAAATAATAAATTGAACTTACTAAATCTAGAATTATTAATGAAGTCAAGAAAATTATTGTTTTCATTTACAATAATCAAAACAATGGATGGAATCCTTCATCAAGAGAAAGTAGTGCAATGGTAAATTATAATGATAAACTTTATCTATATGGAGGATCAGGAGCTGGAAACGTAAGTGATCTTTGTTAAGCAACTTTCGATAAATGTATAATAGATAATTTTATTAAAATTAGAATTTTATAAATGGACAACAATAAATTTAAAATAATAAGTTTAATGTCGTTCATACCATACAGCTAACCTTTATAAGAGTTAATTAATAGTTTTTGGAGGAATTTTATATCCACAACAAAAGGAAAATAGATTTCATTGTGAAGTAGTAAATGAAGTTACTCATATTAATTTATTAAATAATGAGATAAAAATTGTACAGCATGCTGGAATAGTATCACCAAGAAAGGGACATATAGCCGAAGTGATTGGAAGATATCTTTTGGTTTAAGGAGGGATAGATTAAAAAGGGCATTATTTGAATGATTTCCTTGCATATGATATGTCAACTTATAGATGGTAAAATGTGGAAACAAATGCTTCAGTATTCTAAGATGGAGTTGCATTTCATAAATCTTGTTGTGCTTTAGAACATAAATCTTTAGATCTTTATAGACATGATAGTGAAATGAGTTATGAGAATCAAGGAATTTATATATTTGGAGGTCTTGATTAAAATGGACATTATTTAGACAAACTTATAAAAATAGATGTTAGAAGAAGACCCATTTATATTGAGGAAGTATAATCAAAAGGTAGAGGTCCAATAAGTAGATGCTAACATTCAATGACATATGTAGAATTATCTTAATAAATTATAATTTATGGTGGCAAAAATGATGATATAAACACTCTAGGATTTTTAAATGATTTATATATTTTTGAGATACGAAATTTATCATGGAGTATTGTCGATATTAAAAGATATCCTACATCTGGACGATGTAGTCATTCTGCTGCTGCAATTGATGAAAAATTATATATATTTGGAGGTGTTAATTACACAGGATTTGTTAAAAGTGATCTCTTAATTTTTGAGCTCAATTAATAGAAAGCTTAAGATTTGAGTTAATATGAAGCATAAACTGATCGAATAACTAAACAATAAGTTCCTGTTTAATTTAAACCTGCAACACCTCCTAAAAAGGTTCTTAATATCAAATAATAAATTGAATAAATCAAAATTGATACTGAAAAAGTTAAATTAGCTGAAAAATTTAAAAGACTTAGCATGGCTAAACATAGTCGTAATTTAACAGATGTTTAAGTCTATAAAAGCCATACAACTATCACTAATTGATTTTTATCATAATTATTATTATAATGTTATAAAGTGATAATCTTGAATATGTGGATTAAATCAACTCTTGGATAGATCTAGGCAATCAACTTATCAAATCAGCACCAAATCAATAAAAATAATTCACTAAAGAATTGAGAGACAAACTTAAAAGTGGAAGTAACCTTTAAATATTTTTTTTTAGATTATTAAAAACCTGCTCCAATTTAAAAGATGGTGTTGCCTTATCTTTTATAAGAGAAAACTGAAGAAAGATTTGTTTATATTAAATCCCCTACTGGAACAGGTAAAACATTAGCATTTATACTGCCAATTATATTTTTCTTTGATAAAGACTATATTCAATAATTTTATTAAGCATAATAAGAGGGACCTGTTTAATATTATCCATATGCTATTATTTTGGTTGCCACTCATGCTCTCTTAGCATAAATTTAAAAAGACTTTATAGGCGCTACTCCAGATAGTTTATTAAAAGAAGGATTTGTATTAATTGTAAATATTTTAGAAAGTTTAACATTTTGATAAAGGTTAAGATGAAAGTATTATTATGGGTCATGTACTTTGTGGAGTCCCATAAAGTATACTAAGATTAATACAAAAAAAAACTATTAATCTTAAAAATGTTAGATTTATTGTTGTTGATGAAGCAGACAATACAATTTTAAATGATAAAAATTAGAAAGTTATTCAAATTATATCAAAATTTTTAGAATCTAATAATTTAAGATGGAAAATAATATCTTGTGGAGCAACTATGGAAGTTTAGGAATTAAAAGAACTTTTTATTACTTAATTAGGAGAGAAAAAATAAGATTAATAAGAAAATTAATCGTTCTTTAATTTTAAATATTTTAATTTTTAAATTGCTTTAGATAACATTTATCATTATTATGATGACACTGCTGACAGAGAAGAGGATATGTTATAAAAAATGGTTTCAGTTATTAAAGATACTTTTAAAACCTTTTCAGAAGCATAAATAATGATATTTTTTAATGCAAAAACTAAATGTCATGAAACAAAATTATTATTAATGAATGATCCTTAATTAAAATTTTTAGTTGAAGAAAATTATCTTTGTGAAATAGTTTAAGACGGTCTTCAAGATTATGCTACAGCTGAAGAAATGAGAAAATCTTAATAAAAAATAGTAGATGATTTTAAAAATGGGTAGATTTACAATTTATATATAGTGTATACAAAATAATGTTCTGCTCTGATTTAATGGGTAGAGGAATGAATTTTAGAAAAGTGAGATTAGTTATTAATTATGGGGCACCAAGAGTTAAACCATATGGTGAATTTGATTTAAATAGATATAATCAAAGAGTTGGAAGAACTGGAAGAATGGAAGATCTTGGAGTAGCTTTAACAATTTTAAAGTATTTATGCTATTTTAATTGCTTAGTAAATCTTTAAATTCAAGTATATCTGATTCAGAATTTAAAGATTTTATTGAAAAAAAAATCTCAAACTTAATTGTCAAGAAGTATGAAACTACAGATTTTTTCAAATAATTAAAAGATGTGTATACAAAAACACAATAAAAATAAAAATGAGATCTTATTAAAAAATATAAAACAAATTCATTAAATTTAAAATGCAGAACAACTTTGATTGGTTTATAAGTTTAGAGTTTCAATTTTGATATCATCTACTTCTTCTTTTTTAACAGTTTCTACTTAGAGCTGTTCTTCTTCAATTTTGGTATAAATCTATTTTGATTTATTGGAGAAGTTCTTTGTGTTTAATTTTCCAATGCTTTTTAAGATACTATTTTATGAAGAATAACATTACTCATTCATCTTATTCTTTAATTAATAGGATTTAACAAATTTATCAAGAAAGCCTTTAGATGCACAGAAATGCTGATTTTTGAATAATTCTAATGCTTTGCATCTTAATTCTTATCTTGATATTTTTTTGCCTGTTCGTTGAACTTTCTCTATAACCCATTCAATCAACTACTTTTCAGCATAGGGATTAAGCTTTTTCCTTCCACAACCTTTTTTTCTTTCTGTACCACATCGAAGCCATCTTTTTAAGTTTTTTATGGTGGTTCCAAAAGTCTAACTAACTCTCTTAAAATCATCAAATAAAGGATTTGGTCCTAGCATTTAAACAGCCTCATCTTTTTCTTTCTTTGATAATACATTGTAATGCTCTCTTCTTAATTGAGTGAGATCGATTACAATTTTGCACTCTTCTTGAATTTGTATAATGATGTTTGAAGTCTCGTCTTAGGGTTACATTAATAAACTAGGTAATAATTGGAACACTCATGAAATCAATTTGGGAAAATTATTAACATGATTATAATAATATATAATTTTTTATGTTACAAAGTTGTTTTTATAATCAATAGTTCCATCATTAATTGAATTTAAAATCCATTAATAAATAAAATAAGTATTAACGAATAGAATTAATTTTTATTTATTTAAATTTAAAATATCATATTGAAGTATCATGATAAAAATAATTAGAATTAAGAATATTAATATAACTTCACTAACATTAAATAAAATTACAATAAATTAAAAGTAAAGTCTACTAATATAGATTATGAAATAAAGGAGAAAAATTAATAGCAGTTAAGATCATAGAAGTTTAACTAGTTTTCCTTGTTTCCAAATTCCTTGAGTGGGATCTTATCCAAGACATTTATAAAATTCTCCTTATCCATGTTAAAGTCCTTTTTTCCACAATCCAATATATTTACGGCCGTCAGCAAATTAGAATATACCAAAACCATGTTTTTAATCATTACAATACTCACCTTCATAATATCTTCCATCTGGCCATGTTAATCTTCCTTTACCATTCATTTTCCCATCCTACCAATTTCCTTCATAAACTCTACCATCTTGCCATCTCTAGATAAATCTACTGTCAATATTACATATATTCCTTTTCCATTAAAATCATCAAATTCAAATTCTCCTTCATAAATTTCCCCAGAGATGAATGTAATTTTTCCTAATCCATGTTTTTCTCCATTCAAGAAATTACCTACATAGACTGATCCATTCATATACCACTCCATTCCTTCTCCATTAGGAAGATCTCTTTCCCAATTCCCTTAATTAATTCTTTATACATAATAATACCTTCATATTTACAACCATTACTATACATATAAACCCCTTATCCATGCATTTTATTATTTTACCATTAACCTCTATAAGTGTTACCCTCCTTACTCTTAAATTCCCCTCTACCATGTAAACAACCCTTACTGAATTCACCTTAATAAAAGGATTAATCAGAAAAAGTATATTTTCCTTTACCATCTGGCATCTAATCAAACCATTCACCATTGTAAATGTTTCCACCCACTAACTTAATAGCATCCAGTTTAATTCTTTTATTTGTTGTTGATAATTTTATTTTATCTTTAGGTTCCAATATTTCATGAGTTAACAAACATCTAAATCTAAATGATTACATCTTCTTCGTTTAATTTTAAGAGGATCTTATAGATTTTATTGGAGGAGATGTACTCTATTATAATGGTGTTTGTTCAGCTTATTCAAATCCATCATCATCTAATGAATCTGACTCCTTTGGTTATAATTTAGCACTAAATTCTCTTCCAAAGTGAGAAAGGCTTTTCCTTTTTCCATGATAATCTATCATAGGCAATACATTTCGACTCTCCTGAAGATTTAATCTTGGAGAATAAGAGTTAGTACGATATTCAATTAAACAGTCATATGTTGAATTACTTCTCTTTTAATTCATTGATCTCTTTTTCGCTAATTCTTATCTACTCTTCTTACTTATAATCTTACTTAAATCTCTATCTACAAATGTATGCACGAAATGCTGTCTAAATTCTTATTGCCATTTTAATCTGATTCTCCTCCAATAAATTCACAGGATTGTTCTTTATTGCTACTTATTACAACGGTTCTTGTCTCTACATACATTAATTGCATGAACCCATATAAATATTATTTATTATAACTAATTAATTTACATCTGTTCCAAAACTTTTATCTTATTTTGTATAATACCAATTTTCACTTTAATTTACTATTTTTAATATCTTTCACATCTGATCTTATTGTTACTATCAAAATCAAATTCCTTTAAACCTCATTCTTTATTTAAACCATAGTTTAACACTTCTTCTAAACACTGATTCTATCAGAAACACCATCTCTTTCAAATTTATTCATACTAATCAAATTAGATAGTTTATTAACAATTATGTTGATGAGTAAAAAAGATTCAATATACATTTTACTTAAATATTAATAGAGATATTTAAATTAAATAAAGATAAAATAAATGTAACAGGAAAGCATATATAATTTGATTCCAAAAGAGTATGTACCTCCACCTAAAGAACCAATGTATAGATCTGCATTTCCCAATGGTTTGGTACCCACAGCCAGCACTTTTAATAATCATACAACAAGTCGACCTTAAGTTACAATACATTACTATTTAGATTAACAATATAAACGGTGATTTCCAATTAGCCAAAGGACCTCATACTCATAAAGGATAATCTAATTCTCTTGGAAAACCTAAAGGTAATTTATAATACGAATAAGGTTCATACAAACCTGATGCTACCATGTTTAGAATGAAGAATACTGGAACCATGGGATCTAATTAATTGCCTGAGAGTAATCAATTCTTTCTAAGCATTAGTTTAATCATTCAAATATCCATAATCATGTAAAGCAGCAGTTCCAAAAAAAGACGAAAAACCATTACAAGGACTTAAATCTAATAAAAATTTTATTGTTACAAATGCAGTTGAAAACATACTATCAGCTCCAAAATAAATTATTGAAGAAAAAGAATGGACTCATAAAAAAGATTATGGTAAAGTACCTGATTATTTAACCAAAATCTAAAGTAGCATCAATAATGAATATGAAATCATCAGAAATATGCATATGAGCGAAGCTGAAGAAAGAGATAAATAAAAATATTTGATGACCTCTGAAGAAGTCGAACATTTAAAATTAGGTTTGAAAAAAAAATGGGAATCGGTCAATAAGGAATATTAATCAATAACACATATAAGAATGATTGACACTGTTGGATTGAAAAGAAAGTATTATTCTACTTATCATTTAATATAGGAAGGAATAATGTGAAAAAGAATTGGCTTTATTGGAAAAAGATATAGAAAAATTAAATAAATATTATGTTTTTGTAGACACATAGAAATGATCATTTTTTTTTATAACGAGAAATTTAAGTAGATAATCTAGTTTTAAAATATTACTTTTTAAATGTTTCAATTAAACTCAATCATTAGTTTTAACTTATATAATCATTCTTTTCAATATATTTTATTAAAAAAAAATTATTATTCTTAAACATCACTCAAATTTTGCATTCGAATAAATTGCAATTGGTTGAAATTGTATGAAAAAAAAATTAAAATTAAAAGCTTAACTTAATAATACGGAATCTGATCTAAATGTTTAAAATTCAATAATTGAATAGATTAAGTTTAAGATAGTATTAATGAAATTTATATACAAATATTCATATAGCTTGTAAAAGAGAGATTGTGACTTTAAAAGAAAAATTGTGTAGAAATTAGCCATAAGTATAATGAAGAATAAATGAAAAACGGGTATCAACGAAATTGTTTTGGCCTTGTAACAAAATTCATAATCTAAAATAATTGAAATAGAATAAGATTGATAAATTAATAAGTTCTGTGTAATTCTATAATTTCATCAAGATTAATAGATTAAATTAAGAGAGGCATATAAATATATTGATGACATAATTCTAAAAAATATGATGAGTTCAAAAGAAATTTATTGGACAAACAAAAAACACAAAAGTTGGAAACTTTTAATATACCACTAAAATTCATACAAAGTAAATATTAAATAAGAGGTTCTTAGAAAAAAATAAACTTGAGAAGATTGTTTTCTATAGGGATTTAATTTATCAAAAAAAAGTAAGCTTAATGATAAATCTTAGGGAAATCTAAAGCCTACATATTTAATTTTTAACAATTAGTTATTTTTCATTTTTAATAGTTATTCTAATTTTACGGTTCTTTACAATATGTTTTCTCCAAAAAGCTTTTATGATATAAGACGTTTGCTTGCGGAGTTGAACATTTTAATAAAACTTACAAAATTCTCTTAAGTTTAAATTAAATGTTCTCTCAATTTTTAAGGCATATATAAATAGGAACTTTAAAGCTCGAGAAGTTTAAGTTTGATATAAATTTATATATTTAAATTATAAAATCAACTCTTTCCTCTAGAAACTCTAAAAAGACTCATATTTAGAACTTGCTGAAATAACATAGTTGCTTTAAACAATACAATAATTTATTAAAATTATTCAATAAAAATAACTTTAATTTTTCTCATTATATCATCAGTTTCGAAAATTTTGTGTTAGATTTTGATTAAACAAACCAAATATAAAATGTTCTAAATATAAGCATATATAGTTGAAATCAACTTCAATAGATAATACTTAAAATAATAAGTAATATTTAATGATGCCTTGTAGACATTAATTGTTAAATAATGTTATATTAACTTTCCTTTTATGCTACGAAAATTTTTGAAACACTTAATGTGAAAATAAGTTTGTTTTTTTTAGTAACTAAAATGACGGTGATTCTTGTTAAATTTATTTTCAGTATCTAATTTTTATTATGCTCATTTTATTACTTAAAATTATAAGTCTCTATAATAGAAGGACTTTGTTTATATTCAATGCTTAATTCAAAAGATATAGCTCAGTTAGAAACCAAGAGTATTTATATTTTTCTATCTATTAGGTTTCTTTTTAAATTTTGATCTCGATTTGTAATATTTTAAATTCTTTGGCAAGCTTTTGAGAATTTCAAATACAACATAGATTTAAATTATTATAATGGAAAACCTTGATAATTGATTTATCGATATATGTTTTTATATAAATTATTGTAATTTAAATTTTATTGAAATGTTTTATACTAATTTTCTTTTAATAAATATACATAAATCTTCAACTCTATTGATAAAAAAGAGAACCCTTGATTGATGTTTCATTGTGAAAATTATGTTTATATATATACTATAAAAATAAGTTCAGTTATGTTTTTACGCTGTTTTATCTGATTATTAATAAAAAAAGATTTTGTAAAATTTCCTTTAAATTTAGTTTTGAAGCTGATTTATTCATCAAGCAGAACTATTAATTAATTTTACGAATAGATAAATACTCTCTATGATGAAAAATATAAAACAATCGATACGAAAATATGATAATTTTGGAGTTTCCCTAAACTTTAATATAAGAAATAAGAAACAATATCAGAGTGTATGTGGAGGTTTGATGTCAATTATAATGACAATTGTATTGATATACTTTTTCGTAACTGGTATAATAAGCCTAATACTAAGGGATAAATTCTAAGTAATGTATAATAATATTTAGGTTGATGTTTAATAACTTTAGAATATGAATCCTGATTATCAAGAGATGAATATTACGAATTTTATCTTTGCCATCAAATTGGATAACCCATTCTCTATTATTTATCCAAATGATAACAAAACAGCTTTTTAAATTGTGATGAATTAAGTCTAAATTTCTGATTAAGGAAATGGAACACGCAATAAAACTACTTTATATAAAATTAACTTTGAATAGTGTACAGAAGATCATTTTAAAAATATTAATTATGAAAGCTTTGAAGAAATTAAAGCAGACTTGAGTTCATATTAATGTCTTCCTTAAAATTTTAGTTTTAAATTACAAGGAACATTTAATTCAAAGCAATTTTTGTATCCCTCTTTGAAAATCTCAGTCTGCTATACAGATGATTGTTATACAAAGGAATAGATTTATTCACTTGCTTAAAATAAGTCTATTATGGTATCATTATCGACATTAATTTAATCTTCTATTTACATGAGAAATAACAGAGATGAACATCTACTTCGATATATAAATTCTGATTTTTTCTTATAAACAACTTTGAAGGAAGAAAGCAAAGCAGATATATTTTTCAAAAATAACAATATTATAGTTGAGAACAGTATTTTAAGTTTATTTAAGGAAGAGGAATAGAAGGATTTTTGGTAATTTTCTTTAGAGAACTATAGAGAATTAAAAGTATTTAAATTAATGTAAATTAGGAATATCATGATTCTCCAAGTACAATTTTTTCTGTAAATTTCAGAATAAGTCAAGCTTATGAATAAACTAAAAAGACTGTATACACTCTTGATTCTTTTTTATCATATTTTGGAGGTATGTTAAAAATAATTTCTACACTCTTTGGTTTTTTTGCACTTAAGTATAATGAAATTGGTTTAAAATTATCATTAGCAAATTATTTATATTAATTTAACATCCCAAAGAAAAAAGAAGGGAAATTTGAGTTCTCTTATGATAAACTATTAAGTCTAATTTAAAAATCAATAAACAGAGTAAATGATTTATAATAGAAATTAAAACATCATACTAAGACAGTTATAAAAACTAGTTTAGTGATGAGAGCCTGGAATAGTTAAAAATTCCAAAATTAATAGTCAGCATCAAATTTATAAACATAGTAACGAGAATAATTAGATAGCCCTCAAATTGATCAATTACAGTATTAAAAATACATAGAATAATTGTAAGATTATAAAGGAAACTTTCTTTAAAGATTAATTACTACTTTAAATTCTACAAGACATGATCTAAAATTAGGAATGAATTTTATAGTTTATGAATTTTTATGGTGTACTTGCTGTGAAAAAGTAGAAATTACTAAAACAATGTTGGATTAAACTTAAAGGGTTATTAATAGAGATCTTGATATTGTTCATTTATTGCAAAAAATTCAAGAAATTGATAAATTAAAATCAATAATTCTCGAAAAAGATTAATTAAAGGTTTTCAATTACACACCAAAACCTATTATTAATATCAATCCTTCTTATTAATATCAACCTGAAGAAGAAGGAAAATGTGTTGAATTATTTTAGTAAGTAAATTCTTAAAAAAAAAAATGCAAGATAAAGAGATATAATTTGAATAAACCAAAAAAATTAATTAAAATTTATGATTCATACAGCAGATTGAAGTCACACCACCATCAGTAAAAAAACCAAAGAATAGTTCAACTTTTGGGTCCTACAATTGAAATGATATTCTAAAAATATTATGAAATTTAGAATATGGCTAAATAAATGAATTTGACTACTTAAATTCCTGGTGAGAATGAAATTCGTTAAAGTGAATTTTAAAATGATGTAGTTTTACCAGTAAATTTTTCTTAAAGAGGCAATGTTCCCAGTTAAAAATTGCATGCGTTAAATTTCCAATAAATAAGTCCTAAAACTTTGCCAGACAAAGATGACGGATTAGTGGAATCTGATTGAATGAGAAAAGATATTTTTGAATCATTAATTATAATATAATATTATAAATCATATGAATAAGGAATTTTTTTACTTATAATTATTTTCAATGATTGAGTAATAAATGAATTATTTTTATCTATTAAAAAATTCTATATAAAATAATAAAATTCTACATAAGGAAATTATGAGAAAGAAAACATGATTGAATTTATTTAGAATTTGAAAAAAACCTGAGGAAAGTAATTGAACAATTTAGATAGGGCTTGTAATATAGATTCATAAAATTACAAAATTTTAAGAAAATCAGAATCAATGATGATGATCCACTTTTTATTTAATAAAGTGATGATGATGATAATATAATGTAGAAAATGCTTTAGTTGTTAAAGGAAAAGGAAATGTGGTAGAATTTAATTTGAACAAATTCAAACCTGAATATTTGGGATCTAAAAAAATAAAAGAAGTATTGATTAAAAAACAAGGATATTAAATGTATTATTGGTTAATAAGAAGAAGAAAATAATAAAAATGTGAAGTAAGAAGAGGAATTTAAAAAATAATTTGCTAAATTATCATATACAAGAAACCTAATTTAGCTAAAAAATTAAATATAGAGGAAATTGTAAAGAAAACTAATAAATCAAAAATCGTCTCTTTTTACTAAATGATTTTTAATTATTGTTATAATTTTAATATAAAAAATTCAATAAAGTGATCCTAAAGTTTCTAAAGATTTTACTTGCATATATAAGAAACCATCATCTTTATCTCGCATTTTTTACTATAATTACCCTAAAGTTTAATCTTAAAATATCTTAATTATTATTACCTTTTTATGGTAAAATATTGTCTATAAAAAAGAAAAGTGATATATATTTTGTTTTTGATGTATTTTTTTGTAATATTTTTTTCATATCTGCCTCAAAAGTTATCATAAGTTATTCTGGATCAGCTGCACATCTCGAAATAAAAGGCATCGTTACAACTAAAATGAAGAGATAGAATCAATAAATTATTCTAAGATTATCAAAATTTTAGCAGGATGTATTATTTGTTTTGTATTATATAACTTTTTTCTTTCTTCTAATGTGTGACGTTCCTTAAAAATGGATTTTGTATAAATATTCATTTTTTTAAATTAAAAAATGACTATAAAATAATATAAGAGAAATGTCATTATTTTTCTATTATTCTTTTGTTTTGTAGTATTATAAATACTATAATGATCTAATCATTAAGCATCAAAATAATTTTTATTAAGATTAAAATCAAGCATAAACAAGAATGATTGAAGCTAAATCAAAAATTTAAAAGAGAGTTTAAAAATATTCCTATTTCTTAAATGACATAATAGGGGAAGGTTATTCATCATCAGTTTACAAGGGCATTAATATTTATACCAATTAAGTTGTTGCTATTAAGGTTATAAATTTCTCCACTTTAACAACTCCTATTTCCTAAACCCTTTTAAAAAATGAGATCACTATTTTAAAACAATTAGATCATGAGAATTTGATGAAAGTTTACGAGATTTTTGAGACTAAAAATAACACTTACATAATATGTGAATATTGCAATGATGGTGATCTTGCTAATATTTTAGAGAAAACCAATTTTACTTAAACAGAAATTTTAAGTATTTTTCTTCAAGTAGCAAAGGGTGTTAAAGCTTTACATGATCAAAGTATATTCTCTTTATCATAAAATATTTTAGAAATTATCCACAGAGATATAAAACCAGCTAATATACTGAGATCTAATGGAATTTACAAACTTTCTGATTTTGGATTTGCAATTATAGAAAATGATTTTGAGAGCATAATAAAAAGATTTAGTGTTGGAACGCCAGTTTATATGGCACCTGAAACCGTTCAGTTAAATTGTTATTCAGAAAAATCGGATATTTGGTCATTAGGCGTAGTTCTTTACTTAATGGTATATAAGGAAATCCCTTTTAACCTAAAAAAAGATGGAGATCTATATGGAAAATAATAAAACATACATGCCAAAATTATAAATGACAAATCATTAAACAAAAAAATCTAGAATATTCTTATAGGTATGTTAGAATTAGATCAATAAAAAAGATTAAGCATAGATGCAATATTGTCTATATTAAATTAATAGAAAAAATTGAAATGTAATAACTCTCATAAGAACATTCCTTGTAAGATTTTACGTAGGTAAAGTGGTTATGACTAAACTACACATGATGGTTCTGATAATGATAATTTTGGAAATTCATAAAAATATTTAAAAACATTGCCAGATGAGTTGCCAGACATTAATCAAAATATGGAGCCTATTTCATTCCGTACTAATATTAATTAGCATACATTTGAATTGAAATAAATTTAATCAAATCAATTATTTAATGAGCAACCAAAATTTGACTCATCACCTCTAGAAAATAAAGATAAATCCAAAAAGTAAATTCGAATCACTATTCCTACAGTTTAGTCAACTTTTACAAAGTTAAATTCTTAGTCAAATTAGTAACAATCTGAAAATAGTGATACACATTAACACAGTAATCCAAATAGTACTAATGACACAATAAAAAATAATCAGATTTCGAATTGTTAATCTTAGAATTAAATTAATTCTAATTCTCCTTAAATTGCTCCAAAAATAAGTAAGGCAAGTACAATTCGAAATTAAAGAGTTTCCCCAATAAACATTAATCAATCTTTAAGAAATTTGATTGTTTCACCTTTAAGATCAAGAAAGAGTCCCACAATGTGCTCTTTATCAGATTTGTAAAATTTATAGATACATTAAAATTAACTTCTATAAAAAAGAGCTGATTATGTTAAGTAAAGAGCTAAGACTGATTTATCAGTTAATAAGCCAACTCATTCAGAATAGAAGAAATCAGAAAAAGATGAAGAAAAATAAAAATAAAAAACTGCTTTTGAGTTGTTAGCAGCAACAATAAGACCAACATATAAATTTTTGATATTTTTAAATTCAGTCTTAAAAAAGTTTGACTCTATAAACACTGAAGAAAAATAAAAATGTTATTTCTTATTAAGAAAACTTTTAGCAGTAAAAGCTTTTGCGATTAAAAATTATTGTCCTTCTTAAGCTTAAGAGGATTTATAACGTTGGATTGATAGCTTTGAATAATATTTTGAAAAAGTTGGATCTGTATTTTACAATCATCATGATAGAAAGTTTAGTCAGTATTTTAATAATAATCTAGAACAATTTACAAAAGGATTTTCTTAATTACTATATACTTATCTTTAAGAAGTTAATTAATAGTTGTTATCTAAAGATTTACTAATAATTTAGGAAGTAATCAATGAAAATTTAAAATAATTTAATGATCCAATTTTATTTGCTAGAAGGTGGGAGAATGATCAATAATGAGTTTTTCCTATGATGTATATCTGTTATACATTATTAAAGAAAATTGTTATTTTTGTTAATTAATATAAAATTTAAATTAAAATTTTTCTTTTTGATTCTATAAAATTTATAGATAGATATCGCAAAATTATATTTTTAATTAAGAGAACATCTATATATATTGACATCAAATGAAATTCCTATGGCAAAATATGAGGTGCAGCTTAAGTCCAAAAATAGAGAGAAGTGCAGTTGACTAAGAAGTGATTATTTTAATCTAAATTATTAAACTAAATAGAATAACCAAAAAGCAAATTTGTCTAATATACTTGAAAAGATGTTTCACTCTCCAATTAATCAACAAAATCTTCATATAAATAAACATAATAAAATGAAAGATTGGATATTGATTGGTTATATATGGCTACATTTCTACTTCTTCTAATTTTTATTAATTTTATAATAATTATTATTATTCTACAATTTTGACTTGCTTCTCTTTATTGATTTTACAGTTTTTTGTCTTTAGATTTTAATTAGACAATATTGCTGATGAATTAGATGTTCTAAAGGTCAACTATAAAAGTGAGAATAATATTGTTAATAAAATCCCTACAACAATTTCTACAATTTTGGTGTCCTCAGATTTTATTATAAATTGAATTCATTATCAGGGCAAGATCATTATGCTGAATAAGTTTAAAATACTATGTAAATTGTCATAGCTCCTGAAATAATTAATGATCCTTATGGATTCCATTCTAATAAATAAATATCAGTTGCTCTAACAATCAAAATCATTGTAAATATATTCAAAAAAAAAAATGTTTGTTCCACATCAGAAAACCGTATAACTAATGCAAAATATTTCTATCTTTTGAAAAATTCATTTTTTATGAATAGAGTTATAAAAAAGAAAATAGCCATGAACCTAAATTATAAATTTAGTATTAAAAAATTTTACAAACCACCTTCATTTGCAATTTATGCTACCTCTCCTCTTATTAACATAAAGATCATCAAAAATTTATACATCCACATTTATTTTTTGATTCTATTTTACATTTGATTATTTGTATTATTTATACCAAATATTTATAAGTTATTTTAGTTTTGGATTGACTAGATAAAATACCTAAATATTTGAGAATTAATAAAATCATAAAAAATAAAATTTATATAGTATCGTTTTATTTATATATTATTTTATATAAATGGGTAATTGCTATGGAAGTAGAAAAGATCCAATACCATTAGCTTTTGATTAAGCTGAATATTAAGCACTTAATAATCAGTTCCGTTATTATTGTGAATTAAGCAGCTAGTAATTTAGCAACATATTTAAGAACTCGTGATGTTAATGGATTAAACCAAAAATCATTTGAGGATATTTTTTGTGAAAATCCTTCATTTGGAATTAAATTATTTAAATTTTTAGAGGCATATTCTGGATCTCAAGGATTGATTAAAAAAGAACCATTGTTTGAATTTTGTATTATATTTATTTATTATCAGTGGAATTATTGGTTAAGGATGTTTAGACTAATATTCCAACATTTAAGAACCTAGAAAGATTTGAATTAATGTCTTTAATTTCTTTGCAAGATTCAAAATTCTTAACTACAAAAGAAGAATTAGCTTAATTATAATTGACATATTTAGACACTATTGGAGTGATTAAAGTAATTACCTAATCTATTAATAAGGATTTAATTAAAATGCATTAAATAGGTAAAAAAGCAGTTTCTACAAATGAGAGATACATTAAGACTTTGGTCGATATGCTTTATAGTAAAAATCTTAATAATAATTATTTAGAAAATGAGTCAGGTTCTTTTTCTTGGGTTAGTTTAGTTGATTTTGTAACAAAATAAATGCCAGGAACTAAAGAAGCAATTAAACATTATTTTTAAGCAAAATTTATGGGAAAATAAATAAATGTATTTATTTAAATGAAAGATAGAACTTTATCCCTATTGTAAATACACCTTCTTATTTTTTGACTGATGAATTGTGTTTTTAATTACTTCTTAGTACAAATTCAGTTTTAAAAAATTGTTCACAATTAACTTTACTTTATTCTAGTGTTGCTCATTAGGGTGGATTTAATTAAATGATTTAAGTAATGAAAGGTAATAAAATTAAATATTGTAATTAGATAGTAAATTACCTACTTTAGTTTTGATTTAACATTAAGAGATTTATGATTAAAAATAAAAAGTTTAAACTTTTGGTGCAATTACTAATCTGAGATGGTATGATACTAAATAATATTTTGGAACTAAAGATGATTGTGTTTTTAGTCTCTTTCCATATTATAAGATATTTAAATCAAAAAAAGGAGAATAAAATTATTGTTATTTAGATTCATAAAAAGGATTTGGTTTTGGAGGTAAGAATGCTGAAGGATTCAGAATTTGGATTGATAAAAACATTGATAATTCATATTGTAATTAATTTGATGATACTTATGAAAATGGTCCCATTTTACTACCTTATGTTAAAAAACTTAATATCAAAATTATAGAAATATGGGGTATTTAACATCCACCTGAAGATTTGGATGATAACACAGAAGTTAATATTGATTTAAAAGATCCTCTTCTTTAAAAACCTGATGAAATATAATTCCCTGATTCTAATGCAGATTACTATTGGGTTGGTTAAGATTAAAAAATTGATGAAAAGAATTCAGGATATTATTGGGAAGTTTAAAATGAGACAAAATGATTAGAAATTAAAAAGTTATTATTATATTTTGAATTATAATATTTCTGATAATTCCTAAGTCTCAAGACATATGGAAAATAAATAATTTGTACAAATTTATATATTTAATAATTCAAACCAAAAATGGTAAGCTTGAAGAAGATCCAAGTAGGGTAGCCATCTATTATGACAAGCTTGGCAATTTTATAAACCATACCTAATTCATAAGAATAAAAATAAAATCAACTACTAATTTAATACTATCCTAAAAACATGGAAGAATTAGTTATTAATATTTTACTAGCATTCAGAATAATTTATGTATAAATGATTGCATTATTGGAAACTTTCATAATGATAATCAAAAGTATTTATGGATGTAACAAAAATAATTTATTTTAGATCTTTTTGGAATACACAAAAAAAATGGATTTTATTTCTTTTTTGAACTCATAAAAAATTTATCCCTTATTATCTTATGCTTTAATATAAGACTTCTATAATTTGCTACTAAGTTTTTTCAATAGCCCCTTTAAAATCCAGTTAAAAACAAATGACTATTATTCTTTGTAATTACAATTTTAATTCATATTCATAAAAAATTATTTGGAAATGTTAAACCATTTAAATTTATTAGAAATTTTCTTTATAAATCTAAAACAGATTAATAATTTCATTTTAAAAACCTCATTTTATTGATATGAGAATTTAGATTATTACTTAAAATTACCAAGTAGAAAGTTTTTTTAATTAACTATTCTAAAAAAGAATAGAATTTCGAATTGTCGATAATGTAAAATTTTTAATAAAGAAAAATATTATAATTGATTCTATAAAAGTATTTATTATAATAAATAGAATTCAGGATAAAAATTATCATTTTAATAATTATGAATTTGGCTATCATTTAGAACAATCGAACAAAGAGAGTTCATACACTATATTTTGAGTAGTTGTTTATAATGAATTTACCAAATAGCTGCTTTCATCATATAATTCCTTTTAAATTTGATTCCAGTGATCATCAGCTTAATTTATTTCTTCCATAATATTTGTTAAACTCATATTCTCAGATTCAAATTATTGACACTTCTTTATAGAATTCACAAGTTTTTCCACAGGATAAGTTTTAAATTCTGCAATTGGTAATTTTAAAACTTTTTCAGCTTGATGTAAGCGATATTTTAGATCTGAAATTTCATAATGTTATTTTTCATTAATAAGTTACTCTAAAGAATCCAATGCCATACGAGTCGGTTTATTTATTTCAATTTAATTTAGGTATATGTTCTTAACGTCGTTTATACATTAAATCAATTGTTTTGTTTTTGTTTATTATAGTTTTTTTTCTAAATATTTGATTTACTCTAGTAATGCTTTTTTTTCTTATTAATGAATTTTATCTACTTCATCAATAATTTTCATCAACTATATATTTGAAAATTCTGCTTAAACAGATGCGTCTTAAATGCTTTTTGTATAAATAGGGTTTCTTTTAGTTTGTTCGTTCTTAAATTATTCAGATGAATAATGATTCATTTGATTAATCATAAATTTTATTATTTTTTAGAATTGTGAATTAGAATCAAGTGAAGTTCGATACTTGAAATTAATTATATTTTTTAGTAATACAAATTCTATATATGATTTTTATCTCAAAATTAAAATCCTAAAGATTACAAATGAAGAAAATTTGCTTATTGATTATTATAATATAACTTAAATCAACTAGGATGATATATTTAGCTTAAATTAATAAGTTCTTATAAAATATTGCTAGATTTTGAAAATTAACTAAATTAAAAGATCTTGAATGAACCAATCGTTATAAAAACAATGTGAATTTAATTGTATAGGTATATCAAACTATAATCAAATATATAAAGTTTATTCGAAAAATTTCGTAAAGTTGATTTTCCCAATGAAATAAATAATATATTTCATATAATTGAAATATTTAATTGATTAGTTTGAATATATATATTCAACATAAGATTAATTCATTTAATTGAAATTATAGATATTTAACATATGGGTGCAACTTGTTGTAATTCACATTTACATACTTAAGATGGTAACATTTATAAAATACTATTTAGAACTATCTGTTTAATCAGCAGCATTTTGTGATAATGATCAAGGTTCCTAGAAAAAAATAATTAAATAAACAACAGCTAATAAACGATAAGATTATATACCTGCATAGACATTTGGTTTAGGATTAAAATAAAATCTATCTGAAGAAGGGAAAGAAGTTTATGAAGAACCTCCGAAGAAGGTTTCTATGATAGTGTCAAAAGAATTAGAATAGTTGTTAGAACGATAAAATTCTGATACAGATAGAAAGAAAATATTGGAATAATAATCTTTATAAAGTATGATTAATAATGATAAGAATAGAAAAGGAACATAAATTAAATGTTAACATAGATATTTTTGTATAATTGAAAAAAGGTTAAATATCTGATCATTATATTACCGGATAAGTTCTTGGAGAAGGTGCATTTGGAAAAGTTTGGAAGGTGACTCATAAGAAGACTAAATTAGATAGAGCAATGAAGTAACTTAAAAAAAGCTCTATTTTAAAGGAGGATAAAGAGAAACTGTTTTCGGAAATGAATATTCTAAAAGATTTGGACCATCCTAACATTGTAAAATTGTATGAATTATTCGAAGATGATAAAAATTACTATTTGGTTACTGAGTAAGTACTAAATTGATTGAGGATAGGTATTGTTCAGGTGGAGAATTATTTGATCGTATTAAGAGTATGAACTTCTTTAGTGAGAAAAAAGCAGCAGAATTGATGAAATAAATCTTAAGTGCTGTTTGGTATTGTCATAATCAAAAAATTGTGCATAGAGATTTAAAACCAGAGAATTTACTGTTTGTATCAGATTCACCTGATGCTGATTTAAAAGTAATAGATTTTGGAACATCTCGAAAATTTGAGACAGGGAAAAGAATGACAAAAAGATTGGGAACACCATATTATATTGCTCCAGAAGTGTTGTTAGAAAATTATAATGAAAAATGTGATGTTTGGTCATGTGGTATAATTCTTTATATCTTGTTATGTGGTTATCCTCCATTTTCAGGAAGAAGTGAAAGTGAAATTTTAAAAAGAGTTTAATCAGCATAATTAAAATTTGATCCTGAAGATTGGGGTCACATTAGTGAAAATGCTCAGAATTTAATTAAGAATATGTTGAATCCCAATCCTTCAAAAAGATTTAGTGCTGAGTAAGCATTTAATGATAAATGGATATAAAATAATGCACCTTCTAATTAAGTAAATCAGAAAGCATTATAAAATTTATAACAATTTTATGCAAAAAGCAAATTTAAATAAGCAGTTTTGACTTTTATGGCAACATAAATAATAACTTAATAAGAATAAGATGAATTAAATAAGACTTTTTAAGCAATTGATAAAAATGGTGATGGTAAACTTTCAAGATAAGAATTAATTGATGGTTACACTTCTGTTACTAATAATAAAGGATTAGCAATATAATAAGTTGATCGTATAATGGAATTAGTAGATATAAATAGATCAGGAGAAGTTGATTTTACAGGTATTTATTTATTGGTATTTATATTGTTAGAGTTTTTAATAGCTGCAATGAATCAAGAGAAATTTCTATCTGTTTAAAAAATGGAATAAGCATTTAAAATAATAGATTTAGATGGAGACAATTTCATTTCAAAATCCGAATTATAAAATGTAATGGGAGATGTTGATGATGAGGTATTTAGATGTAATTTAACGAGATTTGGATACAAATATTAAAGGAATGTGATTCTGATAATGATGGTAAAATATCACTGGAAGAATTTTCATCCTTGTTACAATCTAAAGTTTTATGATTCATAGAGGTTGATGAATAATAATTTTTATTATTATATTTATTATAATGATAATGCATTTCATTTTCTTTTTCTGGGTTCAGGAACTGTTGGATTAAGATCTGCCAATTTTTGTTTAATATAAATCTATCTTAATGATTCAGAGTTTTCATAAGGTGATGATCTCTCAGGACATTCCAAAAAGAACCAAAGAATCTTAAATAAATTTAATTAATACATTTTCCACTTTGCATACTCTTTTTGGTAAGTCATCCTTCACACTCTTTTCTTTAAGACAAGATACAAAGTTTTTCTCTAACCAATTGCATTCATTTCTATGTTGTTAGTATGTTAATATTACACATCATTCAATGGTGGACGATATTTGACTTCCATGATATTTATATTAATATTAATTAAAGTCAATCAAATTAACATAAAAATTCTAATTCTCTATACCTTAAACTCTTTTCTATTGCTCTACTATATGCAGAATCTTCCGTCTTTAATCGATTTGATCTAAGATAACTTGTTTTAGTCTATCTTTTACAAGGAGTGACATTTTGAAAGTTTTGTTGTTAATTAATTGTACTTTATATTGTGAATTTTCTTTTGCATTATTATGGAATCAAAGTTTGTTTAAATTATATGATTCCTATCTATTCACTAAGTTCTTTTAATGCAACTGAATATTTTGGAGGTGCATATTTACATTCCTCTAATTTCTTTATTTGACCATATAACTTTCCAAAGTTTCCTGCAAATTTTGTATCATCTTACAATTATTGTATTTATAAGGCTAAAGCACATCTCTTAGCCAAAATAGTTATTAATTGAAGGACACATTAATTGTATTCACTTTCAAGAGCACGAGTACTAAAACCACTATATACAGACATGTTAAATTAATTAATTAAATCACAAATTCAAGAATGAAGCATGGATGAAGTTGTTTCTATAGATTATACTCATTCTTCGACCTGCTTCATAAGGATTCAATGCTATCAATTATCTTATGTAAGGGATCTTCAATTCTACTTAAATTATGTTCATCTTTCGAATTATTTTAGTTACACTACCATAAATACAAATGTGAAACACATCATTGTTGAAATAAATTGCTGTAAACATCCTTTTATGTTTCATAAATACCCCTTTATATAGTAATTAATATTTTATTGATTCAATATCATTGTTTTTATTCACTTTCATTATTTCTTAATTACATGGCAATCTTTTTTATTTTTAATAATTCTCTAATATTTAATTACATTGCTTTTATATTTAAACTTACTTACCTCTTACATTTAACGGAATATCTACACTCTTGCATGTTTCATATTCATAAATTCTTAATCTAATTGGCTACCATCTAAATGATTGTTATATTTCTTGACATGGAATAAAACATAAGAAATTACAAGTTCTATCATTTGAATATACTAATTCTATCAATGAAGTCTTAAAAGTATTTAAACATATTTAATTTTTATTTATACTCATCTAATTTAAAATTTCCAACCATATCTTCTTTTCAAAAATGCTTTTTTGCTTTCTTAACAATATTTAATCAAAAAGCCAACACTCTTTATTAAGACTTTCTTCAAATGAATTTTCTTATATGTTATTTAATTACAAAGTAGATTATCTCATTAAATTATTAACACTTTAAAAACTTGAAGTTGCAGATCTTTTAAAATCTCTTTTAGTATCTTTTATTTATTATATATATATTTAAGTTCTTTTTTTAAAAGTTTCTGGAGCTTTTATTATTAAAGAATGAATCTTTGAAATTTCATTAAATTTCCAATTCCTAAAAAATTATTCCATTACTTCATTTGATTACTCTGGAAGAATTGAATCCAAAAAGTATTTATTCATAATTAAAAAATCTGATCTATGGATTGTAAAATAAAATCTTCTACAATTAACTTAATTGTAAAAATATATTTAAAAATAATTCATTATCTATGTTACTGTTACAATAAAAAAGTTCTTATCAATTTTTTTAATCTATTTATAAATCACTCTTGAGAAAGATTTTTATCCAATTAGAATATTATTATTGCAAAACTAATTGCCTAAAAGATAAGCTTTACGAATTTTATTTTAAGTAATGGGAATTAATTATAATCTTGAATAAGTTAAAGTTGGTTTTAATATGAATTATTTACATAATTAATTCATTGTTTTAATAATATCTTCATCAAAAACTTGATAAAGAAAGATATGAACTTTACTTTTATTTCCTATTGGCATTACTTTAATTAATAGCATTTCCTAAAAAACTGTTCCAATAACGAAAACATGTCCTATATCTTAAATTTTACTCTATATATAATATTATTTAGATTTGATTAATTTATCTTAAATAAGTAAAAATATTTTATCCTTAGATTATGATTATCTGTTTTCATTTTAATGTAATTTCCTTCCATTCAAAGTTTTTTTCATCATTGCTTTAAAACTAAAGAGATATTCTCGGATTCTTCCATCAATCTAAAAAATATGAAGCCATTTTTCTGTTTATTCAGAATTCAAAAATATGATATTTTTTCTATCATTATTTTTATAGATGAATAATTATGCTCTAGCACAATTTTTTCGAATATTTTAATGTAACTTATTAATATCAGATATTAATTGTAATTTAACATTTATAAATTTTTAATTAAATTATCTTTATTTAACTAAAAAAAGAGAATTAAAATGAGGAAATAATGTAATATCTTTACCATTTATAGTACTTTCATTAGTTCTTGCAATATGTTTATTCATATCTTCATGAGATAAAATTAGTCTAATAGAAAATTTAGGTTTTCTAGGTTAATCTGGTTCTTTCAACATCAATTTCCCATCTACATGCTTAAGAAGTTAGCATTTCATCAAATGAACATCATAAAGTACATATGTATTACTAATAATTACTCCAAGTATGAATATAATATCAATTAAGGGATCTCTTTTTTATTCCTTAATAAATTCTTGGTTTTCTTCTGTTTGACTTTAACTTTCTTAAGACATATCTTTCAAACTTTCTTCGATATATTGAATTGATTCTTAAACAAAATAAAGCTTTTAATTAGATCTAAATAATTTTAACTTTTTTTTGTTCTAAGTGCCATCTGCTTCATCTTATTTTAATTATATCTTACAATTAACTATTTCCAATTTTTATTATAACACCTCTTATAATTTTATTATATCAATTATATATCCAGTTCTACCAATTGAATAATTGATTAAATCCTTCAATTAAAGATCTAATTCATCCTCCCATTTATATTTACAAAATATTTACTATAATTTCAATTTATTTGTAAGAGTTAAAAAGTAAAATTGATTGTCAATTTTTACAATTTGAGTCTAAATCAAATAATCTTCAGAATTTATTGGTTTATAACTTAATTTTATTTATTTCGAATTAAGATATTCTTCTCTAAAGAAATAATGAGATTCAATTAATTGTTTTTTTTACATATGACTAGGAGTTGGATAATAATTACTTGGTGGAACATTTAATTTAAATTCAGGAAAATATCTTTATAGATAGTCTTGAGTTTCTAATGAGAAAATTTCAGTTAATTCCACTTTAATATCCAATTATTAAGATATTCTTTCATTTGATTTTATTGATTATTACTATCTAAATTTAGAATTCAAAATTTCACTTGAATTTTATCTTAATATTTTTTCACTGCTTTTATTGGAGTCAATTTATTTTTGACTTTTTAATCGAGAAGTGTGCCTTTTCTCTTCATGTTAGAGAGTATTACTTTCATTAAATATAATTTATTAACTATCTTCTGAAATCCAGAGTTTTATATCTTTCATTCTTTTGCCTTAACTTTTTGATTGCATATTTGATTATTTTATCTGTTTAGTTTTATTTATTATTGATAGATCTTTATATTAAAAATAAGATTTAATTCGCTCAATTTTTTATTTATAAATCTCATTATTATAATTTTAAATAGAATCTTAAAGATTTTAAGTTTCAGATTTAAACTTAAATCCATTTATTGTTTTAACATAATTTTTTCTCCTGACTAGAAATAATATTTTGGATAATAAATCTTAATAATATTCAATTCTTTGATTTTCTTCATAACGATTGGCTTTGTTAATTTCATATATATTATTATTTTTAGAATTAGATTTTTCTTAGTTATTTATTGGGATATATAAAGTATATTATCTATTTTCCTCTTTCCATTCATTTTACAAATTTTCTTAAATAAAGTAAATATTAGTTAATTAATTGAAGAGATCCATCATATCATGATAATTGGAAATTTCTTTATAATGTTAAGCAAGAGAATCAATAATGAACCTCACTTAGAATTTTCGCATATAATTTAACAATTCTATAGATGCAATAACCTAAAGAGTTGTAGACTTTTTTTAATTTGATAACATATCCTAAATTAATTCAACACTTAATTATTAGTACTAAATTTTATCTTATGTTCTTTAAAAAATTTATCCTCTAAATTTTGGATTCTATAATATCCATTTTGAAGTTTCATAATTTGTAAAGAGTTTAGTATAAAAATGAATTGGATACCAATTTAATTAATTTCCAGGAGATATTAACTTATGTATAATTTTACTAGCTTCATTTTCTAATATTTTTTTTTCAACAATCTCCATCATCTCAAATCCATATGTACTTGATCTACTCATATTTTTACTATGTGGATGCAATCTACCTGGTGTGATTTCATTTTGTTAAGATTCTATTTCATTTCTTTTTTTTCTTGAATAATAAACATGATATTTCATTTTAGCCTTTAGTTTATCTATAGCTTTGATCAAAACATCCATTGAATGCTTTTCTAAAAATTTTGATATGATTGGATCTTAATATGTTATCACTTTTATAGGTTCTTCTTCAAATGAATAATTTCTAATATCTTCCTATTATTATTTAATATTATCATCATCATTTTCACTAGTTATGTTAATACCACTTCCTACTAATTTAATATTACTCATCGTATGTTATATTTCATTTGTTGTTATTTTTATTTGAGAGCTTCTTTCAATTTTTTAATAGCTTGGATTATTTAAAAAATTTTTACTATCTACTTTATAAAGAATATTATTTTTTGATGGTTCTCTTATTTATGGCCTTGATGAATGAGATGGAGGAATTAATTAAATTAAATAATTTGAAGCTAATTATTTTGTTTTTCTTTATCTAGTAGTATTTACTATTTCATATTTCTTTTCTTATTCATAATTTGGCCTATTGATTATAAGATCATTAATTCTATTAGAAAGTTAATCAGATTCTAATTATTTCACTAAACATTATTATAAAGATAAAACTCTGTTTTTTACTTTCTCTGAATTTTTCTTAGATACTATTGATTAACATCTTGTGGGACTAGTCATTTTTGTTGTTCTTTATGAACTTAAAGGTCTTTGTATTTAATTTTTTAAGATAAACACTTATTAAAATTCCTATTCATTAAATTTTGGAGGAATTCTCTAATTCAAGATAGGTTTGACAATTTTAATCTTATCAACTTTTTTAGCTAATTTAGGTGCTCTTGCTGAATCTACATTTGTTATATAATTATTTATATAAGCATTTTTAAATCGAAAAGATGAAATTTTCTTCTCTTCTCTCTAGGTAACCTAAATTGATTAAATATTATCTTCTTCATCATCATCTTAACTTTAAATCTCTAAATTTACAAAAATTTTATCACTCAAATTTTCATACTATTTTTTATACTCTTATGTTCTCTTATCATTAATTCCCAAAAGTTCTTCTGATAAATGAAAAGACTAAAAGAATAATTAAGTAGCCTCTCTATCTTTATTTTATTTTAAGTATATTTTTGCTTAGAAGGATAATGCTTATAACAAAATTTATTGAAACTTTCTGGGGAATTGTTTGTATAAATAAAAACCTAAACCAATTTCGTCCATTAAATGTAACATTTATTCATTCAATTAAATAACATTATTTCTTTTGCATAACCTTCCATTTTCTATGACGTGATTGAGAATTTGAATTTAAACCATGATTATATTCTTTTGATTCGTTTTCGTTAAAGGAATTAACTGCGTTAACAAACTGTATGCCTGATTATAATTCTTAGTGAATTCAAGGTACTCTGCATATAGCATAAATGTTTAATATTTAACAATTAGTTATTCTTCCATATTTAACAATTTAGCTAATTCTACAGCTCTTTACAAAAATTTTTCCCCATTAAGCTTTTGAGATATAAGATTTTTGCCTGTTTGATTGAGCATTTCAATAAGGTTTATACGCGTCTCTTAAGTTTAAATAGAATACTCTCCCAACTCTTAAAGTGCTTCTATATAAGATCTTTCGAGCTAAAGGAGTGAAAGTTTCATGCAAATTTATATTTTAAATTATAAATCAACTCTTTATTCTAGAAACAATCCAAAAAACTTATTTTCTAAATAAGGATTCAAAATGTTACATATATATTTAATAAAATTAATTTCATATAGATTAAAACAATGACTTTCATTGATTTATAACAGTTATAGTTTAAATTACTTTTACTAATTATTAGTGATTAAATAAAAATTTCTGAATTAGAAGAAGATCTAAAGAATGAGACATTATTATTATCATATAATCAAATTAAGTTCTAGTTGTAAGAAAAAATAAATATTTTTTGGGCAACTTTCTATTATGTTACATCAAAAATTTTTAATGATAAATAACCAAAGATATTGAATCAATAATTCTTTGAGATCATTAAGGAAAACTAATATTAAAATTAAATAGAAAATAGAAATATTTATCTAATTTTTCAAAATCTATTCAATTTAATCTAAATAAGGAAAAAAATGTATAATGTAAAAAGTTAAAACAAAGATTTCAATAGTATGATTTTTTAATTATTCATTCAATTGTAAAACTATATGTTAAATTAAAAGATATCAATAGATGAAGTCATTAATTTTTATAGAAAATTGTTAATATATTCTGAATTAAAATAAATTTCATATTTAATTAGAAAACCCTAACAATTTCTTCTAAAATTTACTTTCCTTACAAACTGCCTTATATTTACTAATAAAATGCTTAGAAAATATTCTAAAGATCAAACTCTATTTGTTATTAATTATTAATTAAATATTTTTTTATTTTGTCTCTAAGATTTTAAGACATATGATTAGCGCAAGAATTTTTATTTTGACCATCAAATATCACAAAAGAGATTGAATATGTACTAATTACTTTATATCTTAAATAAATGAAAAATTAACTTTTTTGGTTTTATTGCATCATCAGGTTCAATAATTCTTATTTTATTGATAAAATTTATTGTATGTATCAAGTTTTTTATACCCAAATCCAATATTAATTATGTAGAACTTTTATTAAAATCAGGGTTTTTTTATAAACAATGAATTTGTGGTTTTCTTTAACAGAATATCAGGAGAGTTTTGAAATCTTATTATTTTTAAACTAATTATATTTATAACCTATTTTAGGCGAGTTAAATTATTAATTAGCCAGAAAATATATGACCATTCCAATTTACATTTCTTTAATAGATTTTCAAACTTAATTAATTCCATTATCTTCTAATTGAGATACATTCATATTAAATTGAATATTTGTAATTAAAAAACCAAATTTATAATTCTAATTTATATGCTCATTATTACTTCAATTTTTTCTATATTAAAATCCAAAATTTGAGTCACTGATAAGATTAATCTAATAATCTACTTGTTTTAATAAAAATATTAAAAAGATTATAAATATATTTTTTCATTCAATCAAATTAGAGAAATTCTTCATCTATGTCTGGCAAAGTTTTTGGAGTAATTTATTGAAAATTTAACGTATTCATTTATTAGTTTGGAGTGTTCACTCTTTAAGTAAAGTTTACTGGTAAAACTACATCATTTTAAAACTCACTTTAAGGAATTGTGTTCTCAAAATTTTCTTAATTACCATTATTTATTTATTTATTCATATTCTAAATTTCATAATATTTTTAGAATATCATTTCAATTGTAGGACCCAAAAGTTGAATTATTCTTTGGTTTTTATCATGATTGTGATGTTACTTCAATCTACTATATGAATCATAAATTTTAATCAGTTTTTTAGGTCTATTAAATCTATATCTCCTTATCTTGCATTTTTTTTTTTAAGAATTTACTTACTAAAATAATTCAACACATTTTCCTTCTTCTTCAGGTTGATATTAATAAGAAGGATTGATATTAATAATAGGTTTTGGTGTGTAATTGAAAACTTTTAATTAATCTTTTTCGAGAATAATTGATTTTAGTTTATCAATTTCTTGAATTTTTTACAATAAATGAAAAATATCAAGATCTCTATCAATTACCCTTTAAGTTTAATCCAACATTTTTTTAGTAATTTCTACTTTTTCACAGCAAGTACACCATAAAAATTCATAAACTATAAAATTCATTCCCAATTTTAGATCATGTCTTGTAGAATTTAAAGTAGTAATTAATCTTTAAAGAAAGTTTCCTTTATAATCTTACAATTATTCTATGTATTTTTAATACTGTAATTGATCAATTTAAGTGCGATCTAATGATATTCGTTACTATTTTTCTAAATTTGATGTTGACTATTAATTTTGGAATTTTTAACTATTCCAGGCCCTCATCACTAAACTAGTTTTTATAACTGTCTTAGTATAATGTTTTAATTTCTATTATAAATCATTCACTCTGTTTATTGATTTTTAAATTATACTTAATAGTTTATCATAAGAGAATTCAAATTTCCCATCTTTTTTCTTTGGAATATTAAATTAATATAAATGATTTCCTATTGATATTTTTAATCCAATTTCATTATATTTAAGTGCAAAAAAACCAAATAGTGTAGAAATTATTTTTAACATACCTCCAAAATATGATAAAAAAGAATCAAGAGTGTATACAGTCTTTTTAGTTTATTCATAAGCTTGACTTATTCTGAAATTTACAGAAAAAATTGTACTTGGAGAATCATGATATTCCTAATTTATATTAATTTAAATACGTTTAATTCTCTATAGTTCTCTAAAGAGAATTACCAAAAATTCTTTTTTTCCTCTTCCTTAAACAAACTTAAAATACTGTTCTCAATAATAATATTGTTATTTTTGAAAAATATATCAGCTGTTCTTTCTTCCATTAGATTTGTTTACAAGTAAAAATCAGAATTTACATGTTGAACGAGAAAGTCATTTTTGTTATTTCTCATGTAAATAGAGGATTAAATTAATGTTGATAATTATACAAGTAGGGACTTGTTTTAAGCAAGTTAATAAACCTATTCCTTAGTATAACAATTCTCAGTATAGCAAAGGGAGACTTTCAAGGCGGGATACAAAAAGTGTTTAGAATTAAACGTGCCTTATAATTTAATACTATAATTTAGAGGCGGACATAAATAAGCACTTAAATCATCTTTAATTTCTTAAAAGCTATCAAAATTGATATGTTTAAAATGATTTTCTGTACATTATTCGAAGTTAATTTTATATAAAGTAGTTTTATTGCGTGTTCCATTTCCTTAATCAGAAATTTAGACTTAATTCATCACAATTTAAAAAGCTGTTTTGTTATCATTTGGATAAGTAATTGAGAATGGGTTATCCAATTTAATGGCAAACATAAAATTCGTAATATTCATCTCTTGATAATCAGGATTCATATTCTAAAGTTGTTAGACATCAACCTAAATATTATTATGCATTACTTAGAATTTATCCCTTAGTATTAGGCTTATTATACCAGTTACGAAAAAGTATATCAATACAAATGTCATTATAATTGACATCAAACCTCCACATTCACTCTGATATTGTTTCTTATTTCTTATGTTAAAGTTTGGGGAAACTCCAAAATTATCATATGATCTTATCAATCTTTTTATCTTTTTCATCAACTTGTACATGTTGTTTTTTCTGTTTTAATAAATTTATTTATTATTAAGCTTTATGAATAAATTAGCTTAAAATTTATATTTAAAAATAATACTTAAATCTTTTTTTTTATTTAAAACCAAACACCTTTTTAAGTCCGGAATCTTTAGTTATTATTTTTTTTTTAGGATATAACTTAGAAATAATTACTAAAATTATAAAGACTAATAAAAGGAAGTATGCTATCCATTCGTATAATAGCCAAGAAATTATAGAATTAGTTTTATAAATTTATATTTATTTTTTAAATAGTACAAAAATATAAGGGCTGTATTTTTTTTTAATTCTAAACAATCCTTAAACATCATTTTTGTTTATACGTAAATAAGGATGATATCCAATAAGTAATGTAAAGAATAATAATTTGTGAAGTAATAAAAAGTAGGAAGCAATAAGAGATAAACTCGAGGTTGATTGTAAAAACGAAACTAATAATATTTCTAAAGTAAATTTAATGAATGTAAATCTAAAAACTAAAGAATAATTATTTTATTTTTCTGTAATTGTTAGGTGTAACTTTAACATAACATAATTTTATAAACTTTTATTATTAGCAAAATTAAATAACTAACAAAAATAAAATTCTAAGTGTTTAACAATTTTTTTTTGCTTCAATCAACAAAGAGGATTTATAAGGATCTCATTCAGACTTATACATTTTTATTTAATTCTTGGTAAATTTAATTATGTTTAATTATTATTATTTATATATATAATTTTTCTGTTTTAATTATACTTAGGATTTTATTTTTCTGTTTCTAACTTTTTGATGAAAGAATTTTGATCTGAAGTTAATTTCTCAATTTTAATTCTAAACTAAAAATTTTTAATTTACTATTGATTTACAAAAAAAATGATTAAAAATTTAATTTTCTAAAATCATCAATTTTTTCCTTCTTTGAACAATTCTATTTGAAAATTAGAACATATTATTGTAATTATTAATAAAAGAGGGACTTACAAATTCCTTGACTCTAAATGCTGGAATCAACACATATATGTTTACAACTAAGTTTTTATTTTTAGTATTTTATTTTAAAGTAAGAGAATTGAAATAATTTAAATATCAAATAAAAAATAAAATAAATATGATACAGATTATATTTCAAATAACTGTTTGCATAAAGAAATAAGATAGAAAAGGGAAGCATATGTATCAAAATGTAATGTTAGATCTATAAAAGGTAAATTTTTTCTTTGAAATTACAGAGTTTCAATTTTTTTTAAATAAATTAAAGATTTTTGATAACCTATCATCAGATCTTGATTAAGAAAATAAAAAAAGGCTAAATTAACTTTTTTTAAAGATTAGTTTATTACTTATAATAAAAGTTTAGATTAATTATTACTGGACTAAATTATTAATAAGTCAATGAAGTGTAATTCTTCCAATTTTATAAATTAGTATTACTTCTGAAAAATATGAGAAATTTTAGCCTTTTAGTAAAGAGAGTATGATTTTTCAAGAGTATTAAGATATATTTAGGGTGGTAAATAAATAAATTAAAAATTGATTGATAGTATATTAAATATTAGGAAATCTATACATTGGTCAAATCATATCTACATCTTTTTAATCGAATTTCAATTCCTGATTTTAAAATTATTAATCCTAATAACATAAATTTAGATTCTTAAATTAATCAATAAATTAATTGTCCATTTATTTTTATATCTAGCTTTAATTATCCTGATATATTTTGGAAATAGATTTTTCTTATAAAAAATCAGCCTTTTAAGTACTCATATCTGTTTTGATAAGGTTATTACTTTATGATAAGTCGTTGTTTGATGAAACAGATAACTTATGATAAAAAATATATATTACTTAGCCTCTGAAAATTTTAAGAAAATTTTGTTAAGTGTTATTTTATGCATTTCTATACATATTACTATCCTTACATTCGTTTGAAAGATGAAAAATAAGTCTATCTGAAGGCATAATATGTTGAGAATTATAAGGACAAGAAACTTGTGAATTTTATTGCATGAATCAGATAAGAATTGATTCACCAACTTTATAATGAAATAATTAATGTACTTTTTATAATTATTTATTAATTTTTTTCAAAACGGATATAATGAGAACGAAACATCTAGTTTTGTTAGGTGTTATCCTAATGCAAGGTAAGGTTTCTTTAAAACTGTTTAGTTTGCTTTGTTTAGGCATTGCATTATGACCTAACTACACTTTTGGATTAGCAAAATGAATTAGATTGCGAAAATACAGATTTTGTACAAATTTTATAAGATTTTGAATCATGGGGAGAGATTATTGAATTATTATAAGATGGATAATTAGATTAAGAAATGAAGCAGCTCTAAGAATTATCATAATTCACAAATGAAATGATATCAGGTAATTATAGGTTAATAATTTTTAGCAAATCCTAATGATTTAATGGAGGATTCTTCTTATGATGAATAATTAGAATCTTTGGATGAAGAATTATAAACAATTCAGAACTAATATAATGGACCATAAAGAAAATTTTTATTTGAATAAAGTAGATAAATTTCAGATTAAATCAGAAGAGTAATTGAATCAAGTATGATTATGTTTTAACTACATTATAGGATCCTTTGAATAAAAGAGATCATAATTGGCTATGTTATATGGATTGATTGAATATTTATTGAAATAAATTTCTAGAGTCTAAAATCAATATTAATAAACAACATAACCATAACCATAACAAAGATAATAATAACCATAACCATAATAAAGAATTAAAGAATAAAGAGAAAGAGTTATTGCTATAAAAGATAAATGTGGTGATAGATATTAAGAGAGAAAAGTTTCAAAATAAAGGGTTGTACCAGGAAACTATAGATAAAATGATCATCCAGTGCCAGAAGAAGTTGGTTGCGACATTCCTTTCCCATAATAAAGATAACCAAAATGTGTAGTTGGATCAGATATAGTATTAACAAGTTCAATCTCTGCTGATTAACCAACTGTTTCAACAGAAGTAAAGAAATTGAAAGATGTTAATGAATATGGTTTTGGTTTTTGGATGAGATTTTTAACATTGTATCCAGAATAATTGTAAAATGGTTTGACTGACTAATCTTATTTTGTTGCTAAATTGACAAAGAATTAATAAGATGGAGATGATAAGATTGGAGATAGATTATTAACTATATTCTAAACTTAAGAATAATATATTTTCAGTGCTTAACATGATAAACCTGAAAGAAAAGAGGCAACCGCTGCAATAGTCTTTGGAGATATTGAAGCTGTTTGGACATATGTTTATTATAGTTATTCAGCATATCAATAATAAGCTATTGGTTTTTATAAACAATCAAATAGTTAATTAGTTAAATAAGTAACATTACCAGCATCTTAAGGAACTCCTTAATATTTAAGATTTGTTTTGGGAGGATAATATTTTGATTTCCCAGGATTCAATGGATAAATTAGTAGACCAGTATTAGCAATTGGTTTAGGAACATATTTGATCAATGAATAAGAATTCTTATAATTTGCTATTTCATGTAATCCTCAACCATATGTTGCTCCATAAAAATTGGTTCCATATTAATTCGTTAGAGAATCAAAATATGTTGATATTGAAGATAATGCTGCTCCACCAACACAAGAATTTATTGATTTATTATTACCAGATGAATATGCAGTTTAAGGTTGGTTCAAATGGGAAGAGACAGATTTGTAAGAGAACTGGCATACAATGTTTAGATTATCAAATACACCTTTAAGAAAATAATAAATTTTATTAGGAGAAAGAGTATTAGCTGCTTGGTTAGGTAAACCAAAGGGAGGATAAATTCATTTCTCTACATATTCATATGCAAATATGAAAGGATCTGGTAATCCAAATGCTCATCAATATGTTTAACATTAAGATTAACATTTACATTGGCATTTTGTATACTTTGGTTATAGTAGAGATTAAAGAAAGGCATATGCTTAAGTATTATTCAAACATGTTCATGCTAAATCTTTGAGTTTTGTTAATGTTAATCATTTTGTATCACCAAAACATTATTTCTATTTTGGAAGAGAAAGA